ACATTATAACATGTATTAGCTAACAAACTCTACGGAGGTTTTGCTATTATATATGTAGCTTAAGTTTATTCATATCTTAAAGCTCAGTACTATGTTTATATCATATAAGTATATTAGCTAACAAACTCTAAAGAGTTTTTGCTATTATATATTTAGCTTAAGTTTCATCATATCTTAAGCATTATGGTTACATTGTAAAATGTAATAGCTAACAAACTCTTACGAGTTTTTTGGCTATGTAGGTAGCTTAAGTTAATTATATCTTAAGCACAGTACTATACTCATATCATAAAATATATTAGCTAACAAACTCTACTTAAGTTTTGCTATTATATATATAGCTTAGGTTTTATTCATATCTTAAGCTTAGTACTATGTTTACTTCATAAAAGTATATTAGCTAATAAACTCTAAGGAGTTTTTGCTATTATATATTTAGCTTAAGTTTAATCATATCTTAAGCTCAGTACTATGTTTATATCATAAAAGTATTTTAGCTAACAAACTCTAAGGAGTTTATGCTATCATATTAACAAGCTTAAGTCTATTAGTCTTAAGCATTGTATTAATGTTATATATACTTTTATCATAATAAGTAAATTGTAATAACCTTTATATGGCAGCTGATAAGTTAGCAGCAGGAATTCATCAGTTCAGTGCCTTTATGAAGTTCCCATAGGGTTATTACAATCATCACAGTTCAAATCACTAATTATCAAAATCCAAAGTATTATATATTCCCACCTCCTTTTCCGTCGGATTCTACAAGCAATAAGCATGAGTCAGGATAAGGAAAATATGTAATTTTAGAGTAAAATTGATATTTTATACTTATCCTGACTCATGAGGTAAGCCCTCCCATCCTCCCCACATAACACTTTGGATTTCCTGGAAATTCAAGTGTTGGGCTCAGTATATGAGGAGAGAGTGAGGCACATGGGTTGAGGTGGCCCTCGTTCCCAAGCACTTGTGGAAGGGAGGTAACTCGTGGTGAGTACTAATTAGTGATTTTTTAATTGAAGGGAACTTCAATTGGGAGATACACGTGTTCCACTATGTTCGCAAGAAGAAGAAGACAAGCAATAAGCATGAGTCAGGATAAGTATAAAATATCAATTTTACTCTAAAAATTACATTTTTATATCTAGGTTCAGAAGATGATGGTGAGCTATGGCTGTTTGGAAAAATGATCACAGCAGCTGACATATCTCTGACTACTTTATTGTCTCGTCTGTCACTACTGGGAATGGAGGCACGGTACTTCCCAGCCAAGACCTGCCCCAACATACACAAGTACTACCAGCTGTTCCAGAAGAGGCCAACCTTCCGGCGCATCCAGTACGAGATCAACGACCTGCGGTGGACGCTAGTGGTGGAGGATCTGAAGGCTGCAGCCCCCTACATGCTTGGAGCAGCTGGGGTTCTCGTAGCGGCCGGCCTTGTGGTCTGGCTTGTTAAAACCATACAGAAATAGTGTATGTGTAAATTAGTGCTGTACAAATAGCATTTCAGTCATTTCAGTGCAATAGACTAATGCATTATATAATTTGTGTTGTGAGAGTATGTTTCTTGCAATATTATAACAAATCACAGTGCATAGTTTAATTACCCAGGATGGACCCAAGATGCAATGGAAGTATATTATGTTTTCCTGTTTATTGATAAGGTACCCAAAAAACACGTCAAAATCAATATGTGTGCACTGTTCAAAGTTATATGGATTTATTCGTCACAATAAGCTGCAATTTTTAAAAGAGGGCATTTTTATTTTGAACACTGCATCTGTCTCATAAAGCCACATCAGGGAGTTACAGTCAGGGACTTGTGTACAGAGTTAAGAATAGATCATAGTTTGTGGTCGATGTTACATCTCCGTATTAACCTATATAGAATACCAGTATTATCTCAGACTTGATACTAGTAATTGTGTCAGACTTGATACCAGTGCATGGACATGGAGAGCCACCAAAGAATACAGACAACTTCAATCTTGATTCAGAATTTCTCTTTAAACCCAATTAATGGAAAACTACATTATCAAGACCAGTACTACATTGTTAAACAATATTTAACTGATGTATTTATGAAATGGTTGACTATGTTAGTTTGTTACAGTCATCACATGTCTGAAGTCCTAGTATTTTAGTGTTGTGATGTTGTGTCCCACTATCGAGTTGATGATATGTTCTGTCACCAAGTACTGATGCTGTAGATCATGATCTGCTTCTATCTCTCTTGTCACTTCATTGTGAGGCAGTCGGTGCCCACTGTAGATCTTGATCTGCTTCTGTCTCTGTTGTCAGTGTGAGGCAGTCGGTGCCCACTGTAGATCATGATCTGCTTCTGTCTCTGTTGTCAGTGTGAGGCAGTCGGTGCCCACTGTAGATCTTGATCTGCTTCTGTCTCTGTTGTCAGTGTGAGGCAGTCGGTGCCCACTGTAGATCATGATCTGCTTCTGTCTCTGTTGTCAGTATGAGGCAGTCGGTGCCCACTGTAGATCTTGATCTGCTTCTGTCTGTTGTCAGTGTGAGGCAGTCGGTGCCCACTGTAGGTCTTGATCTGCTTCTGTCTGTTGTCAGTATGAGGCAGTCGGTGCCCACTGTAGATCTTGATCTGCTTCTCCCTGTTGTCAGTGTGAGGCAGTCGGTGCCCACTGTAGATCTTGATCTGCTTCTGTCTGTTGTCAGTATGAGGCAGGCGGTGCCCACTGTAGATCTTGATCTGCTTCTGTCTGTTGTCAGTATGAGGCAGTCGGTGCCCACTGTAGATCTTGATCTGCTTCTGTCTGTTGTCAGCGTGAGGCAGTCGGTGCCCAGTGTAGATCTTGATCTGCTTCTGCCTGTTGTCAGTGTGAGGCAGTCGGTGCCCACTGTAGATCTTGATCTGCTTCTGTCTGTTGTCAGTATGAGGCAGTCTGTTCCCACTGTAGGTCTTGATCTGCTTCTGTCTGTTGTCAGTATGAGGCAGTCGGTGCCGACTGTAGGTCTTGATCTGCTTCTGTCTGTTGTCAGTATGAGGCAGTCTGTTCCCACTGTAGGTCTTGATCTGCTTCTGTCTGTTGTCAGTATGAGGCAGTCGGTGCCCACTGTAGATCATGATCTGCTTCTGTCTGTTGTCAGCGTGAGGCAGTCGGTGCCCACTGTAGATCTTGATCTGCTTCTGTCTGTTGTCAGCGTGAGGCAGTCGGTGCCCACTGTAGATCTTGATCTGCTTCTGTCTCTGTTGTCAGTATGAGGCAGTCGGTGCCCACTGTAGATCTTGATCTGCTTCTGTCTCTGTTGTCAGTATGAGGCAGTCGGTGCCCACTGTAGATCTTGATCTGCTTCTGTCTCTGTTGTCAGTATGAGGCAGTCGGTTCCCCACTGTAGATCTTGATCTGCTTCTGTCTCTATTGTCAGCGTGAGGCAGTCGGTGCCCACTGTAGATCTTGATCTGCTTCTGTCTCTGTTGTCAGTATGAGGCAGTCGGTGCCCACTGTAGATCATGATCTGCTTCTGCCTGTTGTCAGTATGAGGCAGTCGGTGCCCACTGTAGGTCTTGATCTGCTTCTGTCTCTGTTGTCAGTATGAGGCAGTCGGTGCCCACTGTAGATCATGATCTGCTTCTGTCTGTTGTCAGTATGAGGCAGTCGGTGCCCACTGTAGGTCTTGATCTGCTTCTGTCTCTGTTGTCAGTATGAGGCAGTCGGTGCCCACTGTAGATCTTGATCTGCTTCTGTCTGTTGTCAGTATGAGGCAGTCGGTGCCCACTGTAGGTCTTGATCTGCTTCTGTCTCTGTTGTCAGTGTGAGGCAGGCGGTGCCCACTGTAGATCTTGATCTGCTTCTGTCTCTGTTGTCAGTATGAGGCAGTCGGTGCCCACTGTAGATCATGATCTGCTTCTGTCTGTTGTCAGTGTGAGGCAGTCGGTGCCCACTGTAGATCTTGATCTGCTTCTGTCTCTGTTGTCAGTATGAGGCAGTCGGTGCCCACTGTAGATCTTGATCTGCTTCTGTCTGTTGTCAGTGTGAGGCAGTCGGTGCCCACTGTAGATCTTGATCTGCTTCTGTCTCTGTTGTCAGTGTGAGGCAGGCGGTGCCCACTGTAGATCTTGATCTGCTTCTGTCTGTTGTCAGTATGAGGCAGTCGGTGCCCACTGTAGATCTTGATCTGCTTCTGTCTGTTGTCAGTGTGAGGCAGTCGGTGCCCACTGTAGATCTTGATCTGCTTCTGTCTCTGTTGTCAGTGTGAGGCAGTTGGTGCCCACTGTAGATCTTGATCTGCTTCTATCTCTCTTGTCACCTCAGCATCAGCAGTTGGTGGATCATGATCTGCCTCTGTCTGTGTAGATATATGCTAGGATAATTTCGGTATACTTAAGCATTTATGGGTCTTTTTACTCTACAGATTGTTTCTTCTTTCATTTTGTACAGATTAAACTCTTGTAATCGTGTATGATACATATAAGGTTCTCTATTTCTAATTAAATGGATGTACTCATATATTGCATCCCAAAAGCTTCACAAGGTTTTTGCATGCTCTGTTTCCTCAGTTTTCCTGTCCTGTCTAATTTATCTCCATTCTGTGATGATAAATACAATCCCCTTTCTACCAAAGGTTTGTTTGAGCCTAATTCAGATGTCATGGTGCTAAGACATTCAACCAATTCAAGCAGATTACCCTCACTAGCAACTGGAAATATGATAGAGAGTGGAGGGAATGAGGTGGTGACATCAACTTCTAAACGCAGCTGTGTAAGTGGCCAGGTCCAGGATATTTGTCATAATAAGGTATAATGTGCATGATAACAAAGATTGTTTTGTTGGTTGTTGTTTCTCTTAATTAGACCCAGCTCTTGTAGTTTATGTCAATAGGACAAAAGTCCACATGATTCATGTAAACATGAATATGTCCACTAAAACTATTTTAAAACTTGTTTATGAAGCATGCATGTTTCAAGAAAGAATCTCACTTCTACACATACTCAGACATGTTCTCAGTTTGAAACATGACCAATATTGAAGATGTTAGTTTGGGCCATGAATCACTTTGATGCCTTCACATGTAATGTTTCTTAATGACCTTGTCACGTTATTGTTTGTACATGCAGCTCAATCGGAGACAGTGTCACAAATTTCTTTCTTGTACCAGTGAGCCACAGACAGTTGAATATGTTTTCAGCAAGCATTCAGGTAAAGAGCAGTTCTTGTATGTCGCACAAATGATGTCTCCACTGTATAATGGTGTATGTGAAGATTGTAACTGTTACACACTTCATGTAACAATGCAACCATTGTACAGCAAATGGCTACTATATGAGTTAATCTGTATGCACAAACCTGTATCAAGGCAACTGTGACAGTGAAGTTGAAGATGTGTACTATTTCCAAGCTTATTATGTATATCATGTTAAATCTGCACTAGACTGAAGGTCAAGGTCATCAGATCATAAGTGTATGTTTGTGTTGTGAAGTAACTGGAGGCATGGGTTTTGTTTTGAAGTTGGACTACATTTGGTGTGTGTTTTCTTAAACCAGATGTAGTATCAGCAATTCGGAAATTAACTCATTAAGGCCGAGAGACGCATATATGGGGCAAAATAATCAGCTCCTCACAGCAAGTGACGTGTTTATGGGTAGGTAATTAGCAGTTTCTCACAGCGAGAGCCACATACAGTCGTCAACAGAAAGCACCTCATATTCAGCAAGAGACGCAAATGTGTGTCATACTTTTAAAAATCGCACTGTACCTATTATTTCAACCAATTTAGTAGTACTGAGCAAATATTAGCTTTTCTTGCAAGAGATGCTGCCTTTAGTGTCAATCAGAAGAAGTATTTAAAGTGTTTTGATAACAATTGCTAATCATTATCATAGGCTTATACAGCGTTTGGCAAATGAACACATGTCGGCGAGGAAGGGGATTATGATGTTTTTACAGAGGTAAGTGTCTGGTTCTCTTCATTGGGAATGGATACTAAAATACTTTGTATGCACATTGATTGAATTAGATGTAATGGTTTAGAGGTTACTGAAGATTATTTTCTTCAACTTCCTAATAAATAGGAAACAATATACGAAATTTCAAGAACATACAAAGAATTCAAACACAATAGAATGTGTCATAGTCCTAACTGCCAGTTCACCTGATGAAGGAACCTGGAATGGTCTCGAAACGTCGTGAGAGAAATTTAAAAAAAAAAGAAATTTAATCCTTAAAAATATCTTGGACACAATAGAATAGTTTTGAATTTACTTTTTAGGTATGATTACGTTGTCATGTTTCATATAATGAAACATTATGTATAAACACAAATAATTATACATCCAAGCTCGAATAGATTAGGCATAATTTAACTTACTAATTTGAAGCTTACTCAATTGTAACTAGTTATTTTCCATAATCTAAAGTTGATAATGTTACCTTATCGAATATATAGTGATAAGTCGCGCCTTTGCATCGAATATATATGTCAGTGTTATTACAACAATGAAATCTTTTACTACGTTTGTTACAAAACACAGAAAGTTGGTAATTCAAAAAATTCTCACACCTAAACAGAAGTAATATCATAAGTTATTACATGTAAACCATACAAAGGTATTTCAAGCATTTTTGTTCAAGCCGTTGAAAGTTTCATGTTGATTTGAATTGTCAGTTTCTATGCAATTTACATGAGCATTGTGTAAAACATTTGCATTTGATCTCTGTAATTATCAAATCCGGTGTACTTATCACGTGTATCAATAAACTCAGTCTCTATCCATCGATCCATCGATCCATCGTCAATAAAAGCTGGATAGTATATCAGTTACGGTATCGATACACATGCGTATAATCATTCAATCAGATTACAGTAATGAGATAATTGAACACCTCTTTCGACCTTGAAATAACAGCCTCCGGTAGAATGCATATGTAGTTACGTCCTTATTTTTATTTTATTTTTTAAAAGGTTTGTCCTGTGACAAGTGTAAAATAAACAGATGCGCTGTTATATCATTGGACCACTTGCTTTAGGGAGTCACTCCCCTCACTCTAATGTTTATGCATGCATGCATATCTGTAATCTTATGAACCTCGTTTGCATTCAGTATAAATATAGGCATGCCCACCTTAATAAATATTTGGGTGGGGTGTTTGAACGGCAAGTTTATACACTATAATAATTCAGTATACTGTCATTTCGTGAATTCTGTAATACGTGTACTTTAGTTTGGATATTCATTCGTATCAAGGTGAAGATTATATTTACATGTACAGCAAACCGTTATGTTTTATGTAGTAGTTGTGTGCGTAAAATGTATATAAAATTAATACTATCTCTACTCAATGGTTGGATTTCAATCACTTTGTTTTACTTATCAAAAAACACTAAAATGAGGTCAAATAAACTCGCCAAAGTGTCTATCTACTCCTATTTGTCTTATGTGTATATTTCATACATCATTACCAGTGTGTATGTTTACAATACACAAACTTACATGATAGTTTGAGTTGATAAAGCCGAAACCCAGCATATCGACTGGTCAACGATATAGCCAATAATCAATCTCTATCCAAGCTGTTGAGTGACCAAACGTGCGCTTCAGAAATTTAGCCCACGCCCCATCACCTGTCCTTTCCTCTGTGACAGGTATCTCATGATACGATTGGTCACAAATAACACATGACCAGCCACTATATTGAACAGTTGAGATACTAAACGTTCTATTCGGGAAATTTGATGACGCCCTATCACGTGACTCTTTGTTTTGTGTCTATGCAAGGAATATGTAGTATTCATTTTTTATATGTATGTTTGTATGGTCATGTATGTTTTCTGCATTAAATCTAGATGAAATAAAGTGCCAAGCTATAAATGTGCTCTATGTTAGTCACAGACTAGCGTAATAGTACTTTCATTAAAAGAATTCGTATACACTAGAAATGTATCGGCAAAAGCGCTATTTTCATCGAAGATTATAAAGTATGTAAGTAAATTCTTCTTTACAGTATGCCATCGTCATAGATGTTTTGTAAATTTAAACCTCACACACTGATATGAGAGAAAGAATTTGTTTATGTGCGTCTCATCTCTTACATACAAACAATACATGCATATTGTGATAAAATATATATGTACAAGCCGTCAAAGGTCTACAAGAGAAACTTGCATTCAAATTAAATAAAACTTTGCAATACACGATATGTATTCACACATGCCTTCCTGCAACATATATTTTTACGACACAATTAAACAATCAGGACTTGTTTGTACAACTACACAGTTTCCCCGAAACCTGCCAGGGAAATCAGGTGTGATTAGCACTAATTAGTCTCGGCACAGCGAGTGGACAATCAGCGAGGGGTTCCAGGTGTTGAGTAGTGAGGTGGCTCTTGGGCTTAATGAGTTAAGGGTAGTGATGGAGCTGCTTTTGTTTATATGTTTATTTTCAAATTCTTTGTTGTGTTCAATGTTACAAACCTAGTGGTTAGTGTGACCTACATTTCATGTTGATGAAATGTATATTGTGAGTAGGTCAATACATCCACTATCCAATAATTGGATATTATTAAATACTGTCACAGTGAAAACAGCACAAATACATTTTGTTTTTGTTTTATCCATGATGTTTTATCTGATGTTAGTGTGCAAAAAATATATCATCAACTATGATTAGATTAAACACAAGTGTCTGTTAACCTTCAGTACTCAGTGAAAACCAGTTCAGGGAATGTACATCACACAAATGGAGTCAGCACCTGCCATGATGACAAGAACATTATGTTCAGTAATATTATGTGTTATTTACAGTTAAAATCAACCAATGAATTCCAAATATGAATAAAATAAGTAGGTTTTGATGGTTGTAATTCTTACAGATGCATGTTCCAATCTGTTACTGCAACTGACAATGTTGGTTGTGTGAAGGAAAGCAAGTGTTTCACTATGTAATTATAGAGTACAGCGTGGGTTCCTACAAAGAGAAGTATATCCTGTGACTGTGATGATGAGATAGGGTCACTAAGAAGTGTGGAAGCAGTATGTAGTCCTGAGTGCAGGTGTCAGCATTTTGTTGTTATATGCTGTAGGCATGAGGACACGAGGGACATAAGGGAGCATTCATAATTTAGGGATGTGTGTGTGTGTGTGTGTGTGTGTGTGTGTGTGTGTGTGTGTGTGTGTGTGTGTGTGTTTGTGGTGTGTTTTGTGTGGGTGTGGGTGTTATGATTTTGTCCACACATACTAGGTGGGGTCACTGATTTTGTACATAAAAATATGTTTAAAGTTATGCTCAGAAATTATGGGAGGGAGGGGTGCATTGATTTTGTACACATACTAGGTGGGGTCAGCAATTTTGTACATAAAATATGTTTAAAGTTATGCTCAGAAATTATAGGAAGGGGAGGGGGCATTGATTTTGTACACACACATACTAGGTGGGTCAGCAATTTTGTACATAAAAATATGTTTAGAGTTATGCTCAGAAATTATGGGAAGGGGAGGGGGCATTGATTTTGTACACATACTAGGTGGGGTCAGCAATTTTGTACATAAAAATATGTTTAAAGTTATGCTCAGAAATTATGGGAAGGGGAGGGGTCATTGATTTTGTACACATACTAGGTGGGGTCAGCAATTTTGTACATAAAAATATGTTTAAAGTTATGCTCAGAAATTATGGGAAGGGGGGGGTCATTGATTTTGTACGCGACATGCAGGGGGCAATTATTTTGTACATAAAAATATGTTTAAAGTTATGCTCAGAAATTATGGGAAGGGGAGGGAGGTCATTGATTTTGTACGACATGCAGGGGGGCACTTATTTTGTACATAATTCTTTTTTGGGGGGTCATTCACATTGTACATGCTTCTCCATAAAAATCATCATATCACTCACTCACTTACACACACACAGCCATAAATTATGAACGGTCCCTAAGTACTGTTTTCAAGTACAGTCTGATGAATGCTTCCCTGCTTACACAGAACACAGGAATGGTATTGATGGAGTGATGTATAGACTGGCTGGTGTCAAGGGTGGATGCCGCATCCTGGTCTGTATAGACAGTGACGTGGTACTACTCTCGTCCTGTGCTGTGGGGGTATAGTGTTGACTACCTTGTGTATGTAGTCCAGTCATTCCACAGTATGCATGGCTTATTCCAGAGTTTGCCAATAACTGTATACAATTTATGAATGGTTATGTACTTTTATGAAAACAGTGTGTAAGCATGTGTAATGAAAATAATAAAATCTATTAAATTCTTTCATTGTTTTTATGTACAGATATGTATTGTGATGTGATTACAGTAGATACTAATGAAGTATGAAAGCCCTCCCTATGTGATTGTGTCTACAATTGAAGCTGTGTAGAAGTCTGTCAGGGAAGTGTTGCAATCATCCACAAAATTCCTACTGGAACAAAGTGACCTACACAAAACCCAAGTCTGGACGAGGCAAACCAATACTGCCTCCATTACCATTTGGACACACCAGTATGACTGGATGGGTCTCCCGCCTTCACACAGTACATAGACACACCAGTATGACTCGGATGGGTCTCCCGCCTTCACACAGTACATAGACACACCAGTATGACTCAGATGGGTCTCCCGCCTTCACACAGTACATAGACACACCAGTATGACTCGGATGGGTCTCCCACCTTCACACAGTACATAGACTCCCGCCTTCACACAGTATGACTCAGATGGGTCTCCCGCCTTCACACAGTACATAGACACACCAGTATGACTCAGATGGGTCTCCCGCCTTCACACAGTACATAGACACACCAGTATGACTCGGATGGGTCTCCGCCTTCACACAGTACATAGACACACCAGTATGACTGGGATGGGTCTCCCGCCTTCACACAGTACATAGACACACCAGTATGACTCGGATGGGTCTCCCGCCTTCACACAGTACATAGACACACCAGTATGACTCATGAGATGGGTCTCCACATACCTTCACACAGTACATACACACACACAGTATGACTCAGATGGGTCTCCCCTTCACACAGCATTCACACCAGTATGACTCAGACCGCCACACCAGTATGCAAATGCGCGGTATAGTTTTACGCCACTTCTAGCAATATTCCAGCAATATCACAGCAAGGAACACTAGAAATGGGCTGCACACATTGTACCCATGTGGGGATCGAACCTGGGCTTTCAGCATGACGAGCGCATGTACTCAGCTACCCCACCGCCCCACAGGCAGCTTATATATTTGAAAAGACAACATGTACAAGTTGAGTATGATTGTTATATATTTTGATACCTTGACAAATATGAACAATACACAGTGACTCCAAGTCACACAGATTCCAACAACAGTTTGCTGGGCACAGATACAATACACAATAGTAAGTAAATATACAAACCTCATGTGATGTATGTACAGACATTAACACCGGCTACTTACAGTACTGGACAATCATATTGCACTCTGCATCAGTTACTATGGTTACACTATCACAACACTTCCCAGAAAACATTATATTTCCCAGTCCAATCTCTTATCTTTAGTTGCATATTTCACTATTATTGTCAATGCCTTGATATGTTTCAAACATTTGTTCATGTCAGACGTGCTGGAATGTAGACTGCAACAAGCTTTGATTTGTGTTATATAAACTGATAGCTGGGCATATTTCTGGGTTGACAATACATGCACAAAAATGTCAAATATGGCCTTGTAATACATACTTTTCTTAATTTTCAGACTGACTGAGTTTAGTTTTACGCCGCTTTTAGCAATATTCCAGCAATATCACGGCGGGGGACACCAGACATGGGCTTAACACATTGTGCCCATGTGGGGAATCGAACACGGGTCTTCGGCGTGACGAGTCAACGCTTTAACCACTAGGCTACCCCACCGCCCCCTTAATTTTCAGAATTGAAAAGGGCAATAGTAACTGATGATAAAGACAAGGTGAATTATGAGAAAAAGTTTGTAGTCTGCACTGACATTGTCAATGAGAAAGTATTATCACTTAAGACCCACGACCCCTTCCATACTGTATATTGCTGCATATACCCCAAGCTTATTACCCCCCTGTGCAGTCGCTGCAACATGATATGTAAGCCATATACAAGCACTCTTTATGAACCATGCATAGCACCTGACAATCGTCTGGCCCTGCTTAATCCCAGTCAGTGATAAACAACTGACATTTTACATACTCCCTCAACCCCATTCTCCCTCAACCTCATCAAGTGTGGACCAGGCATGTCAAGTGATTGATATGATGAAGACAGATCCCAACATAAGTGTACATTGATACACCATCAACCAAGTAAGAACGCCCACTCCATGACAAGATGGCCTCCCAGGTCCCCCAGTCACTTATCTTAGTGAGAGTTAATGTGTCTGTATGGGAAAATGTATGACCCCTTTAGCTTCTATACTTGGTCTTGTTTTTGTTATCCCAGAAATAGAGAAACATGACATACTTTGAGAGTTTTTGAATCCTAAAGCCATTGGTGGATGTGTGTTCAAAGGTTCATAACAATATATAATGTAACAAGGAAACAATGCTCAAGAATCTGAAAACTTTGCATATAATACAATACTTCATCTAGCGTGATAGAGACTAAAAAGAAATTACAATATAACACACACTGGGCAGCAAGTGATTTGATACTTGTGCAGTATTTCAACAAACTATTTCAACAGTTCTGCAGAGAAATGAATTCCATTTTCAATTTGAGCCTATCTGACATTTTTCCAATGAAATCAGTCTATCCAGAAGATAGAAGTCTATACACAGGCATTGGTTGATAAGTGAGCAATGTTATTTTCTATTTATTTTCGTAAATGTCTACAATCAAAACCAATTATGCATATGTATATGTATGTCGGATTTCTTTGACCATATAAACAAGCAGTAAGGCAAAATAAGAAATAGTCTTGTGTCATGCAAACAACAGTTATTTAATCTTTTGTTTATGCAACACTAATACTGCACAAATACTGCAAGTGTGTAGACATTAATAAGTGAATATAGCTCAATTAGGTCATAATAAATTAATTACCAGATTCTCATCCCCACTGCTCTCCAGAGAAAACACAGCACCCTGTAAAATATATATTCCACTTCTGTCTCCCCACAATAACACCTGCCAAGAACTTGTCGATCATCATCAGCATGCTCCAACTGATGGAACAGGTCTGAATGCAACCCCTGCTTTCTTTAGTAAGGATTAAATAGCTTTAATGTCAACATAAAACAGTGCAGCAGGCTCAAATTGTTTGCATTGTGACTTACACAATAGCTGCAATAGATTGGCAGAAGTTTCCATTTGCACAGGTATGGGTCTAAAAACACAGATAAAATGGGGTTAGCTATTTTGAAAATTCCCTCTGGAATTGAGTCCACACTGGTATTGGTATACCGTCTGAGACTATATTTTCCTGCTAGGTATTGCCAGTGGTGAAAATTAACAAAAAGCAGCCAGTTAAATTCAGGCATTCAAGTTGGTTTGGGCAAACATGAGTATGACTGTACTGATCTTTGGGTTTCCTTTGGGGAAAATATCATTCCTAGATGAGTATTGAGTTACATGTATCTTGATAACCATTTCATGTAGCCAGTTTTTTATTGTGTATATTATCTGCTTACGTCATCATACAGTAAGCATGGTAATGTAGTTAAATCTTTCCTGAACAATGCCATCTCCTCTTTGATAATTGTCCAGCAATAAAATTCTTCTAATGGCGTACCAATCTCCATCATCAGCCCTGACAGCTACAAATGTAGAAATTGTTGTGTTTGCTCTGAATGTTACAAACCACAAGTAAAATGAGGCACATGCAATACATAGATTCAGTGAATATTATATTCATCTGGTACTGCCTCTGCAAGTTATTACCATGTTCTCAGAACTCTGTTGGTTAAGAAGAATTTGACACATTTTTCTTCAGTTGAGAAGACTAGAACCTTGGACAAACTTACCAAGCAGTATGCTCCTCTTATGAAATGGATTCAGTTGGCAAGATGGTTGCACTCAAGTCAATCTACTTATCATAATGGACATGTTGACTGGCCGCTGCACATGTCGAGTAGGGGAACAGTAATACCTTGGTGAGCTTAAAGGTCACATGCAAACAAAAAATCAAACATAATTAAAACACAATTATCACTTATTCATGACCTTTCATATACATTGCTGGTTATGAAAAAACATATAAACAAAATTATAAGCGTACAATCGCAAATCAAAAGTGCAATATTGTGTACTTGGGTTTACTTCCCAAGAAACGAAGCAGCCGGGATACCGAACCCAGTCAGAGCGGGTGGGTGTGCACTCAAGTGTAACAGATGGTTCATTTGCAGATGCCCTCACGGCTCATTGTGTGTGTACATATAGAGATGTTGGGTTTTGTAAATACATGCTCATTTTTTGTGTATAACATTTTACAATCAACAGACATCATAACATGTCATGTGTCCAAGTATCACACCTGCCTGTCTGTGTAATTACATAATGTGACAGAGACCGAACTCAGGCCATAAATCAATGCATTTTGTTTATGGTGTATAGCCTGATAGGTGTTTATGTCAAATTGCATGTGGTCAGTGATAGCAGCTGTGTATTGAATATTGTCATTAACAGGCAGGCAGACACACAGGTGTCAATAAAACAAGACATTGAGTTTTGTCTGTGACAACGACATATCTATATCACAGTTAGAAATTCTGTCAACGCTAAATAATGACATTGCTTTTAAAGAACCACTAAACTTTGTTTTTTGTTACTCTTTTAACCATTACATATGAAAGATTTGTAGTTAGTCTTATCCGGAACACCAAATTTATTCTTTAAAAACTTGTGGTTAATTAATACCGAGCGATTAAAAGTGGCCAAAAAGTCGCCTGCTTCCCTCTCGCCCGCCAACGAAACCACAGACAGGTTACGTAACTCTGTCGCCAGAGCACTGCAGTGACGTCATATGAGGAACGATTTTCAGTTAGTTGTATAGAAAGTGTGTAGCACGCTCATCATTTTGATGATTTCTATTATCAACTACGATTTACATGCCGAAGTCGTTGCTTTGTCGCCAATTGCTCCTAGGGGTCGGGTGATGGTGTCACCATGCACAGATTTCCACAGGACCCGCAGTTAAGTGGTAAATGGGTTATGTTTGTGAGAGCTTTGCGAAGCGTTGTGGAAGCCTGAAACGATATCTTACTTGTGTTCAGATCGCTTCACGGAAGTTAAAGAATCAAAACTACTTACTAGTTATAGTAAAATATGTATATGATTGATGACCATAAAGATTTTCCATAACACAACTTGTAACATAACGATTTCTTCCTCGGAAGTGAGGTTGTGGTCGGAAGTAACAATAATATTGTAAGTAGTATTATATTGACACCCACCTGGCGCCAATGAGAGAATTGTTATGTTATATCGCTATGTCATGCAAAATCCTATTGGCCATCAATAAAATACATATTTTACTACCAGTAGAAAGTAGTTTTGATTTTGTAACTTTCGGTGAAAACAAACCTAAATAGCATTTATCCACAGACTGGCATGGATGTTCCGACAGGGCTCGCCATTTGAAAATCGTGAAAGTCTGTTAGAATTAATGAGATTATAGTTTGTTTTCATCAAGTTAGAAAATCAAAACTACTTTCTACTAAATAGTTAAATATGTATTGGAATCATAACCAAAAGGATTTTGCATGACACAACTTATAACATAACGATTTCTTCCACGGAAGCGAGGTGAGGGTCAAGTCACAATACTGCGCCGATAAATTTCTTGCTACATTCACATGGTTAATGTCCACTCACCAGTATGTAGATACTAGTCAATGTGCGTCTTTATATTTGGTCTTATAATCCTAATTAGTTTATTATCATACTTTTTATGCATTTTGAAACTAAATAAAAAGCTGACGATCTGCTGATACTTATAGTGAATTTATAACAGAACTGTAATATCTAGACATTTTATAGTTTGCCAATGTGAATCATAATTCGCACACACACCCCTAGTGTATGTTGTCTGTCTCATTACACTTCACGGTAGAAAACAATGATTCTGTTGAATGCTACTCGACAAATGAATAAAAACAAAAATGCAAATATTAAAATTAAAACAGATTAAAGTTATAGGAACAATATCAGGCCATTACCTTGTTTGAGGAATGTATCCATCAATATCAACAAAAACTGTTCCAAATGATGTGTCTTTTTAACAGTTTAATATCTGAAAAAGTGATAAATCTTTTCAGGTATTGGTGTATAGTCTCATTGGTCACCCAAGATAGCACATCTGGCAACTAATTGCATAATGTCCGCCTTTCATTAAAACAGTAATTTAGTTAGCCAATAATGGGCAATCAATCAATGTATTGCCGGTTAATCCTTTGAAAGAAGGGCGTTGTTTTACGCGAGACACCCGACCACGGCAGAGTGTATTCAGTATAGATTAGTAAATCTACATACATAAACACTACCTTTTGACAAATCCGCTGTGTAAGATAAAAGTAATTAATCAATCAGCGTGTTATCGGTTAATCCTTTGATCGATGTTTATAATGTTGAATATTTACTCCAGACACAAGAAATGCCAAATGGGAACCTTTGTCGGGTAAATCTAAGTGTGTTACCACTAATTATACCTGTTATAAATTCATTAACTGACCATCAAGTGAATGATGACAAATAACATGTGTAGGTTTATACCACCTAACACGGGTTACAACAAAAGGGAGTATTAATTGCTGTATTGCAAAGTGAAAACTTATAAATACGACACTGTTTTGAGAATTCAAACAGATTTTTACATGACATGATTAAATGCTCGAGGTAAAAAAACACAGAAATGGGATCAATTTGGATCCAGTCATTATACAAATAGGACTAACGACACCAATCAATTGTGACAGAAGCGTCTATGAAAACAAGTTGTAACTTCGGAAACTAGGCAAAGCAGGAGACAAAATTAAATGACAGTAGATTGTGAGAACATATAGCTTTCATTTTCCACAACAATTGTCACGATTTCAGGTTTATAGAAGCCTGTAAACAAGATAATTTACCCCCTAAAATGTAGATGAATTCTGCATCGGCCCTCAAAGCTATTCCTCATATGACGTCACAGAGTCACGCCGCTCTGATTGGTTGAAATTTTGTTCGCGGGTGAGAATTGTGCACTGTTGTCAAAAAGGTCGATTTAAGTCAATTAAAGGTTGAAATGAGTAGTTTTAATGATGGGGTTTCATTTATAACGATGCCAGTTAGTGATTTATGTATTTTACCCCTAGGGTTTATGTGACCTTTAAGTATCGAACTGAGAAAGTGACTCTGTAAGAAGAACGTGTGGTGAAATAGACATATAAAACAGTTAATTTACTGTCATAACATATAAAAAGCTCGCGCCAGTGAGATATCAACAAAACATTAGAAAAATAGCTCACACCAAAGCCTTCACCGAGTATTCACCGGACAACCCGCTTCCAAGCTGCGTGAACCTATTTCACTGCGCACGTGCTATGAGCGCAGCCCAACTGTTGAAACCAGTTTTCCCGAAAGTCGGGGAAAATTAGCGAAACGTTTTGAACTCGATTTCAGCGTGGGTTTTTCATACTGGGCGTTTTTTTTCAACTTTATAAGGTGAATTTGCATTTTGGCGATTTGTTTGGTAAATCCATACCGAAAGGTATCAGAATCTGCAAAGTTGTGTTTTACGTTGCATGTGACCTTTAAGCATTTTTGTTTCACTGTTGTGAAGTGAAGTCTTCTGTCTTTGGAAATATAATATACATTTTCCATATATATTTTCTCCCTAGGAAAATGTATCTAAACAAATGTATAAGAATCTCATCATGAAGTTGTTTTGGAGCACCCACAGTGAGAGAGTATCCCTTAACAATGTACATGTTCTTCAGGATTTGTCACCACATGACTCACAGAGATATCAATGACAGCCGCCGGCCCATTAGTGTAATATAAACACAGATGAGTATGTTGCACCATTAATAAACAAAACACCATGTAAACTGAGCAGCTGCTGAATACCTGACAAACCTCCAATACTACAGCATGCATTGACCCACTCAGATAGAAGCTACAGATCACATCTGATGACAGATACCCTAAAACAAATACTCTACAGACACCAAAGTCACACTTGTGACAATGATACACTACATGCCACATTGATGTTCCATAGTCCCACAAGTCCTAATTGTGATGATGATGATGAGACTGCCAGCATCCCACGGTTACAGGGGCATCTCTCTAGTAAGATGTTGAGTAGAGGTGAAGGTAAGACACAGAACACACTCCCTGCTGAACACCAGGACCTCTGAATCATTGCTGGGAATATCTGTACTAGATTTCACACTGTTGTCGTCCCTTCCCCTGCAAGCCATATCTAATGCTCATATTTTTCTGAGCAAATACAGCTGTGCCTGTTTCACAAGCATAACAATTTTTGTTTTCTGTTCCACTCAGGTGATAGCATACAGTCAGACATTACTGTCAACTTAACTACATTCTCATGGTGTCTGACAACACCAGCATCACACTGTGCAAATATATATACCAGGGTATTAACACTTATATTATCTATCTTGCATAAATTATGTTGTTTTCTAACAGTGGTTCACTGTATATTGAGTGCTTTAACTGCTGACAGCTTTAGGGCATGCTGACTACGCTTGGAATCACGATGTTTCGCCTGTACTTTGTGAAAATGAGCTAACAGTTCTTCAAAGTTTATCTTAGCTACAAGTGGCCTCTCTTCTTTTTTCTTAGGTTTTGATCTGCAAAAAAATGAACATAACATTATTTCATATGCCAGCTGTATACTGTAAAACAAAAGACATGTCATCCAATGGAGCAGAGTACAAACTACATTCTCTCAGGTTCCAGTGTAGACACTGTAAACATTTAGCAGACAGCTACAGTTCAACCCAAGTTCATTAAATGTGCCCAGTTGAACTTTATATTACAAATACCAATATTATAACAGTACTGCTTTGTAATTCATTTGTACCTATTAGAAGGGTTTGCGAGAAATGTCAGTCTCTTTAAAGCCTGAAAACATTCCTTTGACCTGTAAAATTATCAAGATCATTACAGTGTAAGTTCACGAAAGATCTCCCATAAGTCCTTTGACACCTATTGAAGAGAAAAGATGGCACAACAACATGTCATTATTAAAGGCAACAGGAATTCCACTGACAATGAATGAGACAAGGACAATGTCATACTCTACAAAGACCTCAAAGCTGACTTTCACCTTTGACTTAAACCTTTTCAAAGCTGAACTTATCCTAGAAACTTTACACAGAAAGCTTTATGTTAAAAGACACTATGTTTTGAGAGGTTTCTAGTAGGATTCATTTATATTGTCAGAATAATTCCAGATATGGATCACCTCATGGCAATAACCTTTGCACAGTTGAAAGAAGAAACTGTCATAACATCATTGCTGTTGTCAACAGTCTTAACCTTACGTTTTGTCATGGAAATGGTAGTGTGGGATGCACTCAAGTCGGTACCGCAGCAGCTTGAATGCCTCGGACTGCGGCAGCAACATCAGTAGTCCATACAGACTCTTGATCAGGTCTTCATTGTTCTCTACATCAAGCAGCTGCAGGCGTAAATCTGAAGCCAAAGGGTAACCAACCCTGAAAACCACCATGGAATCACCACAGGTAGACAGGGATGATGGGACTGGGGACATGGGATCACCACAGGTAGGACTGGGGACATGGGATCACCAAGGGTAGACAGGGATGTATGGGACAGGGGACATGGGATAACCACAGGTAGACAGGGATGTATGGGACTGGGAACATGGAGCATCACAGGTAGACAGGGATGTATGGGACTGGGAACATGGATCACCACAGGTAGACAGGGATGTATGGGACTGGGAACATGGGATGACCACAGGTAGACAGGGATGTATGGGACTGGGGACATGGATCACCACAGGTAGACAGGGATGTTTGGGACTGGGAACATGGGATCACCACAGGTAGACAGGGATGTATGGGACTGGGGACATGGGATCACCACAGGTAGACAGGGATGTATGGGACTGGGAACATGGATCACCACAGGTAGACAGGGATGTATGGGACTGGGGACATGGAGCATCACAGGTAGACAGGGATGTATGGGACTGGGGACATGGATCACCACAGGTAGACAGGGATGTATGGGACTGGGGACATGGAGCACCACAGGTAGACAGGGATGTATGGGACTGGGAACATGGGATGACCACAGGTAGACAGGGATGTATGGGACTGGGGACATGGGATCACCAAGGGTAGACAGGGATGTATGGGACTGGGGACATGGATCACCACAGGTAGACAGGGATGTATGGGACTGGGGACATGGATCACCACAGGTAGACAGGGATGTATGGGACTGGGGACATGGGATAACCACAGGTAGACAGGGATGTATGGGACTGGGGACATGGATCACCACAGGTAGACAGGGATGTATGGGACTGGGGACATGGGATCACCACAGGTAGACAGGGATGTATGGGACTGGCGACATGGGATCATGATAGGTAGACAGGGATGTATGGGACTGGGGACATGGATCACCACAGGTAGACAGGGATGTATGGGACTGGCGACATGGGATCATGATAGGTAGACAGGGATGTATGGGACTGGGGACATGGGATCATGACAGGTAGACAGGGATGTATGGGACTGGGGACATGGGATCATGATAGGTAGACAGGGATGTATGGGACTGGGGACATGGGATCATGATAGGTAGACAGGGATGTATGGGACTGGGGACATGGATCACCACAGGTAGATAGGGATGTATGGGACTGGGGACATGGGAGCATCACAGGTAGACAGGGATGTATGGGACTGGGGACATGGGATCACCACAGGTAGACAGGGATGTATGGGACTGGGAACATGGGAGCACCACAGGTAGATGGGGATGTATGGGACTGGGGACATGGGATCACCACAGGTACACAGGGATGTATGGGACTGGGGACATGGATCACCACAGGTAGACAGGGATGTGGGTTCACCACAGGGACTGGGGAACATGGAGCATCACAGGTAGACAGGGATGTATGGGACTGGGAACATGGAGCATCACAGGTAGGATCAGGGATGTATGGGACTGGGGACATGGGATCACCACAGGTAGACAGGGATGTATGGGACTGGGAACATGGATCACCACAGGTAGACAGGGATGTATGGGACTGGGAACATGGAGCATCACAGGTAGACAGGGATGTATGGGACTGGGGACATGGGATCACCACAGGTAGACAGGGATGTATGGGACTGGGAACATGGATCACCACAGGTAGACAGGGATGTATGGGACTGGGGACATGGGAGCATCACAGGTAGACAGGGATGTATGGGACTGGGGACATGGGATCACCACAGGTAGACAGGGATGTATGGGACTGGGGACATGGGATCACCACAGGTAGACAGGGATGTATGGGACTGGGGACATGGAGCATCACAGGTAGACAGGGATGTATGGGACTGAGAACATGGGATCACCACAGGTAGACAGGGATGTATGGGACTGGGGACATGGGATCACCACAGGTACACATCGATGTTTAGGGCTGAGTACTTTCAAACATCAGAGGGAGTAAGTTCAAGAGATAAAAACGTCTTAACGTCATCTATATAATTTAAATACTTTTGTTTTGATGAAATTAATTACATGCTGCAAACTCATGCAAAGAAGAATAGCTTTTGGACAAATGTGAACAGAAGAAATGTGACAAATGTGTATACCTACACACAAAGATAGGAGACTCAATGAGCTGTACCAGCTTGTCAATCTCCTTCAGGAAGTCCACAGTCACCTCAAGGTCACCACTACAGAGGTTAAGGAACATTCACCATTTCACAACATCTATATTGACTTAAGTGTTTTACATCATCTGTACAGGTGTGTGGTGAGTACCATGATGTATTGAGAGTATCTGAGTGTTAAAAGATGTATTATTCTTGGTATCTGGGTTTACCTGGGTATTCAGGGTGTTAAAGTACTGTCAGAAATAGAAAAACAACCTGATTTTTCGCATTGATATCTACAATTTATGTAGTTAATATGTGTTAGTGTGAAATATCTGTTAAACCAAGATTACAGTCTCAGTGGTAGGGAGATAGGAAACGTGGAAAAAGGACTTTACTGAGAGATTAGTGCAAAAATGAGAAATGCAACTTATTTGGAACACACCTTGGCTTTATGCAAATTAGTGTGCGATAATATTAGATTACAAAGGACAATTTTTAAATGTCCATTATGAAATTAAACTTAGCTTTAATATAAACGATAGCTGACGTAAAAAAAAGTAACTTTAATACTGAAACTATGAAGGATGTAGCTACCATGGAGTCTCACTATTAGTGTTGGTATTGGCATACAACCTCTGATACGATACATCACGATACTCAAATTTTAGTCACAATGATATATTGCCAAAATATTGTGTACTGAAGCTGCGATATGATACGAATCCCGATATAAGGGGGGCGATTTGATACGTATCACGATACTAAAATCTTCAATTTCTAACACCAACTATAAAACACCTTAAGATCAAAACAAAACCATTTTAAAGTATTTTGTCAATACCGCCAGCATTTTTTATTGTTCATTCGGAAACAAGATGATTAAGGTTATACACAGACTTTGTGAAGGTTAATAACACAGTTTTTGACGCATGAATTTCCGAGGAAAGCATATATTTTAATCATCAAACATAAGTAAGTCTTTTTTGCTTGACAGATATCGTGATTCGGCAATATTCAAAGTTAAACATTGATGTATCGTGGTCCATTTGAAGTATCGTATCGGGATATATACGACAATGTAAAAGTTTGTATCGATTCACTGTAGCGGCGGCCCATGGATCGATGCATCGATGCGTATCGATGAATCCTCACACCACTACTCACTATCACTATAAAAAGAAACAGGTAGGAGGGGTCGTCTCAAAAGCAAATCCAGGACGGGTGTCGCAGACGGTGGTTGGGGTCGAGCTTGGGGCTAGAGATATAAGCTGAGATAAGATAATCCTTTAGGGGAATTAAGCTGGGAAGCAAACGGCATGTCAATAACAATTTAGAAATAATATCCGACCTGTCGATCTTTGGGTGGTCATGCCACCTATATATTTTGAGACATTTAATACGATGGCTAATTTAAACTTTTCCATGGGTATCATACCCTTTTATGTATCTCAGCATAAACTTTTTGATCAATAGATGAGACATATTCAACACACATGAAAAAGCACAAAATATCTTTGAGATGACCCCTTGTGTCTGTAGGCAGCACATGCATTTCATGCCAGGTGAGTCGACGGTCCGTCGTCATACCTGGCTGAGCAACCTAATTGCCATCTATAGTCCATCTATTGTTTTGAGCAGCTATTCATATTTTTCCCAAGTTCTGCCCAATTTTACGAGTAAACATGCTTTTCTGGATATACTATTACGCATCCCACTGAATGCCCAGTTAGGCCGATGTGGGTTATTTTGATATATGCTATTTGTAAATTTTTCAATATTAGGGATACAGAGTAACACCCTTAAAACAGTTTTTTTCTATTTCCGAAAATGCTTTAGTATGTAACATGAGGTGTTGAGAGTATCTGAGAGTTAAAAGATGTATTATTCAGGGTATCTGGGTTTTACCTGGGTATTCAGGGTGTTAGTGTGTACCATGATGTATTGAGAGTATCTGAGAGTTAAAAGATGTATTATTCAGGGTATCTGGGCTTTACCTGGGTATTCAGGGTGTTAGTGTGTACCATGATGTATTGAGAGTATCTGAGAGTTAAAAGATGTATTATTCAGGGTATCTGGGTTTTACCTGGGTATTCAGGGTGTTAGTGTGTACCATGATGTATTGAGAGTATCTGAAAGTTAAAAGATGTGTTATACAGGGTATCTGGGTTTTACCTGGGTATTCAGGGTGTTAGTGTGTACCATGATGTATTGAGAGTATCTGAAAGTTAAAAGATGTGTTATACAGGGTATCTGGGTTTTACCTGGGTATTCAGGGTGTTAGATGTGTTATACAGGGTATCTGGGTTTTACCTGGGTATTCAGGGTGTTAGATGTGTTATACAGGGTATTCTGGGTGTTAGTGTGTACCATGGGTATTGAGGGTATCTGAAAGTTAGATGTGTTATACAGGGTATCTGGGTTCTACCTGGGTATTCAGGGTGTTAGTGTGTACCATGATGTATTGAGAGTATCTGAAAGTTAAAAAGATGTGTTATTCAGGGTATCTGGGTTTCAGGGTGTTAGGGTGTTCAGGGGGTCTGGGTTTTACCTGGGTATTCAGGGTGTTAGATGTGTACCATCTGATGTATTGAGGGTGTTAGTGTGTACCATGATGTATTGAGAGTATCTGAGAGTTAAAAGATGTATTATTCAGGGTATCTGGGTTTTACCTGGGTATTCAGGGTGTTAGTGTGTACCATGATGTATTGAGAGTATCTGAAAGTTAAAAGATGTGTTACACAGGGTATCTGGGTTTTAGCTGGGTATTCAGGGTGTTAGTGTGTACCATGATGTATTGAGAGTATCTGAAAATTAAAAGATGTGTTATACAGGGTATCTGGGTTTTACCTGGGTATTCAGGGTGTTAGTATGTGTATCTGATTACATGGTTATACAGGGTATCTGGGTTTTACCTGGGTATTCAGGGTGTTAGATGTGTTATACAGGGTATCTGGGTTTTACCTGGGTATTCAGGGTGTTAGATGTGTTATACAGGGTATCTGGGTCTACCTGGGTATTCAGGGTGTTAGTGTGTACCATGATGTATTGAGAGTATCTGAAAATTAAAAGATGTGTTATACAGGGTATCTGGGTTTTACCTGGGTATTCAGGGTGTTAGATGTGTTATACAGGGTATCTGGGTTCTACCTGGGTATTCAGGGTGTTAGTGTGTACCATGATGTATTGAGAGTATCTGAAAGTTAAAAGATGTGTTATACAGGGTATCTGGGTTTTACCTGGGTATTCAGGGTGCTAGATTTGTTATACAGGGTACCTGGGTTCTACCTGGGTATTCTGGGTGTTAGTGTGTACCATGATGTATTGAGAGTATCTGAAAGTTAAAAGATGTGTTATACAGGGTATCTGGGTTTTACCTGGGTATTCAGGGTGTTAGATGTGTTATACAGGGTATCTGGGTTCTACCTGGGTATTCAGGGTGTTAGATGTGTTATACAGGGTATCTGGGTTTTACCTGGGTATTCAGGGTGTTAGATGTGTTATACAGGGTATCTGGGTTCTACCTGGGTATTCAGGGTGTTAGTGTGTACCATGATGTATTGAGAGTATCTGAAAGTTAAAAGATGTGTTATACAGGGTATCTGGGTTTTACCTGGGTATTCAGGGTGTTAGATGTGTTATACAGGGTATCTGGGTTCTACCTGGGTATTCAAGGTGTTAGTGTGTACCATGATGTATTGAGAGTATCTGAAAGTTAAAAGATGTGTTATACAGGGTATCTGGGTTTTACCTGGGTATTCAGGGTGTTAGATGTGTTATACAGGGTATCATGGTTTTACCTGGGTATTCAGGGTGTTAGCGTGTGACATTACTGAAGGATACAAGGAGTGAAGGAGATTGCAGGCATGTGTGTAGTTCTGTGACAAGTAGCACAGACACACCGTTGCTACAGGACTGTGACACCAGCACTTGTACAGGCAACAGAACAGCGAACAGCTCTCCTGGATACAAAAACAGTTACATAAAACAACAGCAATATCCTACAAATTCTGCCAACAGGCATCTTACTCTGACTGATCCAGAAATTAACTAAATTGTAATTAAAGCTGCTTTGACACATGGAGGGTCTCTAACTGCAGGTAGAAATGTTACTCATAGTGTCAGACAGTAACATGGCTCAACAAGTTGAATAAACAAAAAATGTGTTTCTGTTTTTTTTAGTACCTCTGTTTGCAGATCTTTGAGTTGCGACCTGAGATGGAAGAGTTCCGTGGATGTGAGGAGGATGGTGTTCAGTGTCTGAACCATGGTACATACGAAGGTCACGTCCTCCTCCTGGGGCAGGATCTCAGCCAGGCACCGGAACAACGCATCGGCATTCAGATATACAGCAAGCTGTCTACAATAAAAGACAAGTTCCTATAAAAATAAACAGTTCCCAGCATGTGTATCTACCTGGTCTGTTCAGGTGTGAAGGAAACACTTCCCAGCATGTGTACCTACCTGGTCTGTTCAGGTGTGAGCCCAGTATGTGTACCTACCTGGTCTGTTCAGGTGTGAGGGAAACACTTCCCAGTATGTGTATCTACCTGGTCTGTTCAGGTGTGAGGGAAACACTTCCCAGCATGTGTATCTACCTGGTCTGTTCAGGTGTGAAGGAAACACTTCTACCTGGTCTGTTCAGGTGTGAGGGAAACACTTCCCAGCATGTGTACCTACCTGGTCTGTTCAGGTGTGAGGGAAACACTTCCCAGCATGTGTATCTACCTGGTCTGTTTAGGTGTGAGGGAAACACTTCCAAGCATGTGTATCTACCTGGTCTGTTCAGGTGTGAAGGAAACACTTCCCAGCATATGTATCTACCAGATCTGTTCAGGTGTGAGGGAAACACTTCCCAGCATGTGTATCTACCTTGTCTGTTCAGGTGTGAGGGAAACACTTCCCAGCATGTGTATCTACCTGGTCTGTTCAGGTGTGAGGGAAACACTTCCCAACATGTGTATCTACCTGGTCTGTTCAGGTGTGAGGGAAACACTTCCCAGCATGTGTATCTACCTGGTCTGTTCAGGTGTGAGGGAAACACTTCCCAGCATGTGTATCTAACTGGTCTGTTCAGGTGTGAGGGAAACACTTCCCAGCATGTGTATCTACCTGGTCTGTTCAGGTGTGAGGGAAACACTTCCCAGCATGTGTATCTACCTGGTCTGTTCAGGTGTGAGGGAAACACTTCCCAGCATGTGTATCTACCTGGTCTGTTCAGGTGTGAGGGAAACACTTCCCAGCATGTGTATCTAACTGGTCTGTTCAGGTGTGAGGGAAACACTTCCCAGCATGTGTATCTACCTGGTCTGTTCAGGTGTGAGGGAAACACTTCCCAGCATGTGTACATGTTCATATCCATAGTCTGACCAAAGGACACTTTAAAAACAAGAGTCAAAATTATTTTCGTCCAGCATTTTCTTGACCACAGTAAAACAGAAGCACACACACAAGATTTCATATAGCAGTCCAACAGTACAGTAAAACAGAATGAGCCTACCTAATAATAAAAGATCCTCTATCTTCCAACAATTGTCTGTCTGTCTTGAACAGGTCCAGCAGATGAATCATGAACTTGGTGAAATACTGATTGAGACCTTTCTGTAGATCCACCAACTGCCTCACAGGACTTGGAATTGTCAAATTTGTAGTTTCTGTGGTAAAATTGTCACCAGCAGGATTGGATGAAATTTCTGCCAAGACTTCAAGATCTAGTAACACCACCTACAAGCATATGAGAACTTTCTATTTTGGTTGACTTAGAAATAATTATAAATACATGTTAGGTTTACTAAATATAAATGACATAAGCTGCAGAGTACTCATAGCATGCAGATGTTGTATTTCCTAGGACACTGTCAAATTTGGCTAACAAACATCTTTGTTATGTTTATTTATGTAATATCTTTTCAAGCCCACCCACCCCACAAAATTCATATTAAATGTTTGTAATTGATTTTTTGAAAAAACTCCACAGTGTTCCCCCTTCTCCCCAATCTCCCAAATAAGGCACCAGTCACTCAACAGGAAACAATAAATAACATAAGAGTCAATCAAAACCATGACTGGGTACAATGGCAGCCATGTACATGTACCGCCAACTTCCAATTACAAATCAACATTCAAACAATATGAGATTACATAGAAACAATAATTAATAAAAAAACTGTTTATTTCTAATGAAACTTCATCTTTGATTTGTTTTTCTAACTTTTAATCTAACAATTAAGATCTGACTTACATCATCAGATGGGTCGGACAAAGTGTTGAGAAGAAGTTTGAAGAACTCATCTATATATCGAAAGGTCTGTAAAAGAAAACATGGAAGCTACTGACATCAGGTGGACAGTATGGACTAAACATCTAGTGTATGGAAAACCCATCTTTGCCCATTGAAAACAAATGTATATCTAACTACACCTAGTGTACAGACAACAGTTACATTGTTATTAAATACGAAAACAATAAATATGCTACAATAAGCCACTCGTGTCGACATGACAGTAATGGTGTCTCCTGGCACAGAGCGGCATGGGGTCCTGTGCACTCTGGACTGGTAACAAGTGGGTGTCCGCCCAGAAAAGCCACATTTGAAAAATACCAATTGCCGCTAAAGCCAGATTTCAAGTACAAACCTCAGTGCCGTGAATCGCCGCGAAAGCCACCCAATGAGTAAGGGAATCAATACCGTTTTTTCAAATAAGCGTTACCTATTGATCACATATGATGGGCGGCTTCTTTATTCTCATTGAAGTTTTTAGTTAACATAAGATAACATATGTTCTGAGATAAAATGATACATGCTAATGGGCCATTCTATGGAAAAGGGCAATTTAAGCTTTTGCTCTTAAGAAAATATTATTTCTATTTTCTGTATTTTTTATGCCTTCATCTAAACTACTTTGGTTTGTATGATTGGTATGCTGCATCAGAAGTTTGAACAAGAATTTTCCATCAAATGTATTGTGACGTTTCAACTTTAAATCAAAATGCAATTACTGTAACCGTGGCAAAAATACCGTTTTGGAAAATCTAGTCATAAGTTTTGCTTAAAATTCAATTGACCCTCTCATAAGTCAAAATGCTTCGAAGAATTATTGTTTGTATAATCATAAATAATTCGTAAAAGGTGTTTGAGTACCAACGTGAGGCAGCTAGTTTGCGTGATCTTGACTTTTCTCCACGAACAATTCAACTGGATTTCTAGATTTTACATAATGAATATTTCACATTAGTTACGGTAACATGGATTAGCTAATAGCGCATTGCCGGGAGAGCCACATTCAGATGATCACTCAACCATGCCCATTGCTGGTTAAGCCACACCATTTTCAACTCTATTTTTCTTAAATGTGGCTTTAACCAACAAATCAGGGCAAGTGGAGCATGACTGTGTCTAACAGCAATTCAGCTGGTGACTCCTTTTTGGGCTTCAAGATGAAGCACTTGTAGCACATGTAGTGTCTTCTTAGGGATGTCACTTGTTTTGTGATTCTGTTAGCCAGTAGGATGAGATGGTAACATGACAGTTACCTAGGACTGATTATTATTTACCTTATTGGGTGTCTTTGATAGAAGTAGGCTGAACCACCGTAGGGCTGAAACTCTAGTCTGTATAGCTTTGTGGCCTAACATTCGTTGTAAAACTTTGATCACAGATAAAACATCCAACTGTATTGCACTGAAACAGCAAAGGCACCATGATCACATCAACTCTTGCTTTCACTCAAACACTCAGGGCGTTTCTCACACGCATATGACAGTAAAATCTCAATGTAAAAAAACAGAAAGTAAACAAACCACACTGGCTGCTGTGAATCTATTATTGTTTTGCTTTGTTCTTCTTTGTTCCATGTCACCTAAAAACATTCCTCTGTCTTCGCTACTGCCTTGTGTTTGCGCTTAGAGCATAGCCAAGTGTTGTGGAGTCGAGAGCATTACAAATGACCTATATTATTATAATATATGAGGTCTGCATTCAACAGTTCATGTATAGTGAGGCCTGCATTCAACAGTTCATGTATAGTGAGGCCTGCATTCAACAGAGTTCATGTATAGTGAGGCCTGCATTCAACAGAGTTCATATATAGTGAGGCCTGCATTCAACAGTTCATGTATAGTGAAGCCTGCATTCAACAGTTCATGTATAGTGAGGCCTGCACTCAAAAGAGTTCATGTACAGTGATGCCTGCATTCAACAGTTCATGTATAGTGAGGCCTGCATTCAACCGTTCATGTATAGTGAGGCCTGCATTCAACAGTTCATGTATAGTGAGGCCTGCATTCAACAGTTCATGTATAGTGAGGCCTGCATTCAACAGTTCATGTATAGTGAGGCCTGCACTCAAAAGAGTTCATGTACAGTGATGCCTGCATTCAACAGTTCATGTATAGTGAGGCCTTACATTCAACAGTTCATGTATAGTGAGGCCTGCACTCAAAAGAGTTCATGTATAGAGAGGCCTGCATTCAACAGTTCATGTATAGTGAGGCCTGCATTCAACAGAGTTCATGTATAGTGAGGCCTGCATTCAACAGTTCATGTATAGTGAGGCCTGCATTCAACAGAGTTCATGTATAGTGAGGCCTGCATTCAACCGTTCATGTATAGTGATGCCTGCATTCAACAGTTCATGTATAGTGAGGCCTGCATTCAACAGAGTTCATGTATAGTGAAGCCTGCATTCAACAGTTCATGTATAGTGAGGCCTGCACTCAAAAGAGTTCATGTACAGTGATGCCTGCATTCAACAGTTCATGTATAGTGAGGCCTGCATTCAACAGTTCATGTATAGTGAGGCCTGCATTCAACAGTTCATGTATAGTGAGGCCTGCACTCAAAAGAGTTCATGTATAGTGATGCCTGCATTCAACAGTTCATGTATAGTGAGGCCTGCATTCAACCGTTCATGTATAGTGAGGCCTGCATTCAACAGTTCATGTATAGTGAGGTCTGCACTCAAAAGAGTTCATGTATAGTGATGCCTGCATTCAACAGTTCATGTATAGTGAGGCCTGCATTCAACAGTTCATGTATAGTGAGGCCTGCATTCAACAGTTCATGTATAGTGAGGCCTGCATTCAACAGTTCATGTATAGTGAGGCCTGCATTCAACAGTTCATGTATAGTGATGCCTGCATTCAACAGTTCATGTATAGTGAGGCCTGCATTCAACAGTTCATGTATAGTGATGCCTGCATTCAACAGTTCATGTATAGTGAGGCCTGCATTCAACAGTTCATGTATAGTGAGGCCTGCATTCAACAGTTCATGTATAGTGAGGCCTGCATTCAACAGTTCATGTATAGAGAGGCCTGCATTCAACAGTGAAGCCTGCATTCAACAGTTCATGTATAGTGAGGCCTGCACTCAAAAGAGTTCATGTACAGTGATGCCTGCATTCAACAGTTCATGTATAGTGAGGCCTACATTCAACAGTTCATGTATAGTGAGGCCTGCACTCAAAAGAGTTCATGTATAGAGAGGCCTGCATTCAACAGTTCATGTATAGTGAGGCCTGCATTCAACAGAGTTCATGTATAGTGAGGCCTGCATTCAACAGTTCATGTATAGTGAGGCCTGCATTCAACCGTTCATGTATAGTGAGGCCTGCATTCAACAGTTCATGTATAGTGAGGTCTGCACTCAAAAGAGTTCATGTATAGTGATGCCTGCATTCAACAGTTCATGTATAGTGAGGCCTGCATTCAACAGTTCATGTATAGTGAGGCCTGCATTCAACAGTTCATGTATAGTGAGGCCTGCATTCAACAGTTCATGTATAGTATGCATTCAACAGTGAGGCCTGCATTCAACAGTTCATGTATAGTGAGGCCTGCATTCAACAGTTCATGTATAGTGATGCCTGCATTCAACAGTTCATGTACAGTGAGGTCTGCATTCAACAGTTCATGTATAGTGAGGCCTGCATTCAACAGTTCATGTATAGTGAGGCCTGCACTCAAAAGAGTTCATGTATAGTGATGCCTGCATTCAACAGTTCATGTATAGTGAGGCCTGCATTCAACCGTTCATGTATAGTGAGGCCTGCATTCAACAGTTCATGTATAGTGAGGTCTGCACTCAAAAGAGTTCATGTATAGTGATGCCTGCATTCAACAGTTCATGTATAGTGAGGCCTGCATTCAACAGTTCATGTATAGTGAGGTCTGCATTCAACAGTTCATGTATAGTGAGGTCCGCATTCAACAGTTCATGTATAGTGAGGCCTGCATTCAACAGTTCATGTATAGTGAGGTCTGCATTCAACAGTTCATGTATAGTGAGGCCTGCATTCAACAGTTCATGTATAGTGAGGCCTGCATTCAACAGTTCATGTATAGTGAGGCCTGCATTCAAAAGAGTTCATGTACAGTGAGGCCTGCATTCAACAGTTTATGTACAGTGATGCCTGCATTCAACAGTTCATGTATAGTGAGGCCTGCATTCAACAGTTCATGTATTGTGAGGCCTGCATTCAACAGTTCATGTACAGTGAGGCCTGCATTCAACAGTTCATGTACAGTGATGCCTGCATTCAACAGTTCATGTATAGTGAGGCCTGCATTCAAAAGAGTTCATGTATAGTGAGGCCTGCACTCAAAAGAGTTCATGTACAGTGATGCCTGCATTCAACAGTTCATGTATAGTGAGGCCTGCATTCAACAGTTCATGTATAGTGAGGCCTGCATTCAACAGTTCATGTATAGTGAGGCCTGCATTCAACAGTTCATGTATAGTGAGGCCTGCATTCAACAGTTCATGTATTGTGAGGCCTGCATTCAACAGTTCATGTACAGTGATGCCTGCATTCAACAGTTCATGTACAGTGATGCCTGCATTCAACAGTTCATGTATAGTGAGGCCTGCATTCAAAAGAGTTCATGTATAGTGAGGCCTGCACTCAAAAGAGTTCATGTACAGTGATGCCTGCATTCAACAGTTCATGTATAGTGAGGCCTGCATTCAACAGACTTCATGTACAGTGATGCCTGCATTCAACACTTCATGTACAGTGATGCCTGCATTCAACAGAGTTCATGTACAGTGATGCCTGCATTCAACAGTTCATGTATAGTGAGGCCTGCATTCAACAGTTCATGTACAGTGAGGCCTGCATTCAACAGTTCATGTACAGTGAGGCCTGCATTCAACAGTTCATGTACAGTGAGGCCTGCATTCAACAGACTTCATGTACAGTGAGGCCTGCATTCAACAATTCATGTACAGTGAGGCCTGCATTCAACAGTTCATGTACAGTGATGCCTGCATTCAAAAGAGCTCATGTATAGTGAGGCCTGCATTCAACAGAGCTCATGTTAAGTGATGCCTGAGCAGTCAGTTAAGACACAGGGAGGAGTGAGTCAAGACATAGGTAGGAGTCGACCAAGACACAGGGAGGAGTCAGTTAAGACACAGGGAGGGGTCAGTCAAGACACAGGGAGGAGTCTGTCAAGACACAGGGAGGAGTCAGTCAAGACACAGGTAGGACTCGGCCAAGACACATGGAGGAGTCAGTCAAGACACAGGGAGTAGTCGGCCAAGACACATGGAGGAGTAAGTCAAGACACAGGGAGTAGTCGGCCAAGACACAGGGAGGAGTAAGTCAAGACACAAGTAGGACTCAACCAAGACACATGGAGGAGTCAAGACACAGTTAAGACACAGGAGGAGTCAGTTAAGACACAGTGAGGGGTTAGTCAAGACACAGGGAGAAGTCAGTCAAGACACTGGTAGGAGTCGGCCAAGACACAGGGAAGAGTCAGTCAAGACACAGGGAGGGGTCAGTCAAGACACAGGTAGGACTCGACCAAGACACAGGTAGGAGTCGACCAAGACACATGGAGCAGTCAGTTAAGACACAGGGAGGGGTCAGTCAAGACACAGGGAGGAGTCTGTCAAGACACAGGGAGGGGTCAGTTAAGACACAAGTAGGAGTCGGCCAAGACACAGGGAGGAGTCAGAGGGAGGGGTCAGTCAAGACACAGGGAGGAGTCAGTCAAGGCACATGGAGGAGTCAGTCAAGACACAGGTAGGAGTCGGCCAAGACACAGGAAGAGTCAGTCAAGACACAGGGAGGGGTCAGTCAAGATAAAGGGAGGAGTCAGTTAAGACACAGGTAGGAGTCAGTCAAGACACAGGGAAGAATCAGTCAAGACACAGGGAGGAGTCAAGACAAATGGAGGAGTCAGTCAAGAGACAGGGAGGAGTCAGTCAAGACACAGTGAGGAGTCGGGCAAGGCACATGGAGGAGTCAGTTGAAACACAGGGAGGGGTCCATCAAGACACTGGAGTCAGTTACTGAGTCAGTTAATACAGTGAGATACTACAGTTGGGATACAATGGCCACTCACCTGGAACTCTCTGGTGGGGCTGACTCTGTGTCAGGTGATGTCCCCCTGCTTGCATCAGGGTGAGAGTTGAGGGTGGAGTCTGCCAGTGACTCCAGGGTGGGTGTAGGCAGGTCATCCTGCATCTCTATCAGTTTCTGTAGACTGACATTCAGGTTCTCTGCTGCCTCCCGAACCCTAAAGAGGATCACACATGACACACTCAACAGATGTCTTAATACCTGTCTTACCTACCTGAAATGTTTAACAAGGTAAAGTGTGACTATCTATATTGCTAAAGTGTTGCTACCTGTGTTGTTATCTTTTTCACATCTGAACAACAACATTACATTGCCTTGTATCTTGAGCCTCATGATTGTACATATATATCAAACAAAGAGCTTGAACAATGAAAATTATTTGGGTAGAGTTGCAACAAATTCATTACCTTAGCCATGATGTAGGGTACATGTGTTTATCTGTATGTGTAACAGGTTTGTGAGTTCAACTTCCATTTGTCTTGATACACATAGTACCAACCCCCCTCAACAATGTTGGACTGGTGAGTCCAGAACTCACTACAGCACTACAATATTACACAGCATCTCTTTGGCCTGGCAAAAGCTGGTAAGATGAGAGACAGCACTGTACAGGCAACAAACATGTGAGACACCTGAGAATAAAGATACTGTACACCACAACAATACTGTAGGAAAGCATTATGTTTATTATCCTGTTGTTGATGAATTGTTAGGACTACACTAGGCACCTATATTAACAATGCATGTTTCATGTCAGCCAAAAGTCCTGTTATTTAAAGCAGACTATGCAATATGACCAGGAACTCACAGTTACTGTTGATTCCAAGAATACCATTTTTTCAATAACTTGTAAGAATTCTGAGAAACACATTTGATCATACAAGCAGCTTCTAGAAATCGTAATGGGAGGCAGGTGAGGGATGTGTTCTTATTATCACTACATATATAGTATACATAGCGGGGATTGCAGGCAAGGTGAGGGGAGGTGCATTATATAGCAGGTTGATGAACTCTCCTGACATCCATCAAGCCAAATACTGTAACATAGTGATGAACTCTCCTGACATCCATCAAGCCAAATAACAAAGTGATGAACTCTCCTGACATCCATCAAGCCAAATAACATAGTGATGAACGCTCCCAGCAACCATCAAGCCAAATAACATAGTAATGAACTCTCCTGACATCCATCAAGCCAAATAACATAGTGATGAACTCTCCCAGCAACCACCAAGCCAAATAACATAGTGATGAACTCTCCCAGCAACCATCAAGCCAAATAACATAGTAATGAACTCTCCCAGCAACCATCAAGCCAAATAACATAGTGATGAACGCTCCCAGCAACCATCAAGCTAAATAACATAGTAATGAACTCTCCTGACATCCATCAAGCCAAATAACATAGTAATGAACTCTCCTGACATCCATCAAGCCAAATAACATAGTGATGAATGCTCCCAGCAACCATCAAGCCAAACAACATAGTAATGAACGCTCCCAGCAACCATCAAGCCAAACAACATAGTAATGAACTCTCCTGACATCCATCAAGCCAAATAACATAGTGATGAACTCTCCCAGCAACCATCAAGCCAAATAACATAGTAATGAACTCTCCTGGCAACCATCAGGCCAAATAACATAGTAATGAACTCTCCTGACATCCATCAAGCCAAATAACATAGTGATGAACGCTCCCAGCAACCATCAAGCCAAATAACATAGTAATGAACTCTCCTGACATCCATCAAGCCAAATAACAAAGTGATGAACTCTCCTGACATCCATCAAGCCAAATAACATAGTGATGAACTCTCCCAGCATCCATCAAGCCAAATACTGTAACATAGTGATGAACTCTCCTGACATCCATCAAGCCAAATAACAAAGTGATGAACTCTCCTGACATCCATCAAGCCAAATAACATAGTGATGAACGCTCCCAGCAACCATCAAGCCAAACAACATAGTAATGAACTCTCCTGACATCCATCAAGCCAAATAACATAGTGATGAACTCTCCCAGCAACCATCAAGCCAAATAACATAGTGATGAACTCTCCCAGCAACCATCAAGCCAAATAACATAGTAATGAACTCTCCCAGCAACCATCAAGCCAAATAACATAGTAATGAACTCTCCTGACATCCATCAAGCCAAATAACATAGTAATGAACTCTCCTGACATCCATCAAGCCAAATAACATAGTGATGAACTCTCCCAGCAACCATCAAGCCAAATAACATAGTAATGAACTCTCCTGACATCCATCAAGCCAAATAACATAGTGATGAACTCTCCCAGCAACCATCAAGCCAAATCACAGTGGTGAACTCTCCTGGCAACCATCAAGCCACATAACATAGTGATGAACTCTCCTGACAACCATCAAGCCAAATAACATAGGGATGAACTCTCCCAGCAACCATCAAGCCAAATCACAGTGGTGAACTCTCCTGGCAACCATCAAGCCAAATAACATAGTGATGAACTCTCCTGACAACCATCAAGCCCAACAATGTAGTGATGAACTCTCCTGACAACCCTCAAGCCAAATAACATAGTAATGAACTCTCCCGGTAACCATCTTGCCAAAGAACATAGTGGTGAACTCTCCTGACAACCATCAAGCCAAATAACAGTGGTGAACTCTCCTGACAACCAATAATCCAAGTAACAGTGGCGAACTCTCCTGACAACCATCAAGCCCAATAATATAGTGATGAACTCTCCTGACAATCAACAAGCCCAATAATATAGTGATGAACCCTCCTGACAACCATCAAGCACAATAATATAGTGATGAACTCTCCTAACAACCAAAAAGGCCAATAACATAGTGATGAACTCTCCTGACAACCATCAAGCCCAATAATATAGTGATGAACTCTCCTGACAACCATCAAGCCCAATAATATAGTGATGAACTCTCCTGACAACCAACAAGCCCAATAATATAGTGATGAACCCTCCTGACAACCATCAAGCACAATAATATAGTGATGAACTCTCCTAACAACCAAAAAGGCCAATAACATAGTGATGAACTCTCCTGACAACCATCAAGCCCAATAATATAGTGATGAACTCTCCTGACAACCATCAAGCCCAATAATATAGTGATGAACTCTCCTGACAGCCCCCATTGTCAAAACAGTCATAAAAACACCAACATTTACAACTTTTCCCCTTCTGTATGCTTATTTCTTAAAGGTCACATGCAACGTAAAACACAACTTTGCAGATTCTGATACCTTTCGGTATGGACATACCGAAACAAATCGTCAAAAATGCAAATTCAACTTATAAAGTTGAAAAATAACGCAATGAAAAAAAACGCGTGAAATCGGAGTTCAAACGTTTCACTAATTTTCCCCAGACCTTTCTGGGGAAAACGGGTTTCAACAGCTGGGATGCGCTCATAGCACGTGCCCAAGTAAATAGGTTCGCGCAGCTTGGAAGCGGGTTGTCGGGTGAATGCTCGGTGAAGGCTTTGGTGTGAGCTATTTTTCTAATGTTTTGTTGATATCTCACAGGCGCGAGCTTTTTATATGTTATAACAGTAAATTAACTGTTTATATAATTTCATTTGTCTATTTCACCACACGTTCTTCTTACAGAGACACTTTCTCAGTTCGATACTTAAAAGCAATGTCATTATTTAGCGTTGACAGAAATTCTAACTGTGATATAGATATGTCGTTGTCACAGACAAAACTCAATGTCTTGTTTTATTGACACCTGTGTGTCTGCCTGCCTGTCTGCTAATGACAATATTCAATACACAGCTGCTATCACTGACCACATGCAATTTGAACTTAACACCAATCAGGCTATACACCATAAACAAAATGCATCGGTCTCTGTCACATTATGTAATTACACAGACAGGCAGGTGTGATACTTGAACACATGACATGTTATGATGTCTGTTGATTGCAAAATGTTATACACAAAAAATGAGCATGTATTTACAAAACCCAACATCTCTCTATATATATACACACAATTAGCCGCGAAGGCATCTGCAAATGAATCAGCCGTTACACTTGAGTGCACACCCACCCGCTCTGACTGGGTTCGGTATCCCGGTTGCTTCGTTTCTTGGGAAGTAAACCGAAGTACACAATTTTGCACTTTCGATTTGCGATTGTACGCTTATAATTTGGTTTAAATATTTTTTCGTAACCAGCAATGTATATTATATGTCATGAATAAGTGATAATTGTGTTTTAATTATGTTTGATTTTTTGATTGCATGTGACCTTTAAGTAATGATCTTGACACTGGTGACCTGATCCTGCCATTCCTTGACAAGCCAGATGGCAACTCATGCTCCTCTTGCTAGATTCTATATTGGTGACATCCACGAACATCTACTCCAGATAAGAAAGATAACTCCTATTCAATAAGCATCTTTTAAAATGGAGGTGCTTCTGTGGTGCCTGCTTGTGCCTGTTGTAAAAGTATTCAACCCCTCTAAAAACATACTTTCCTTAAAATGTCGATTTAACATGAAGTCAACTCATTTATTCTAATTGGTTCTTTTTTAAATAGGATTTCAAAATCAGATTAAAATAACTGACATTTAAAGATTTGGGGTTTAAAAGAATTTCAGCATTGAATTATCCAGTTAAGAATGGCAATTTCAATTTTGTGCTTAGCTTGCATGAAGCCACAATTTAAAACTTTTTTCTTGACTGTCTTTTCATGGATAGCATTTAACAAATAGTGATATGTGTTAAAATAAGCATTGTCACTAAGGTGACATAATCCCCCGCCGCAAATGATCAAATCAAACTTATAAAGTAATGAAAGTTTAAGTTAAATGTCAACAAAAACATGACCAGTCAACCTCTATTGATATCTTGCTCTTTAAGTGTTCAAACACACACATATTTTCAAGACTGAATTTGACCTTGACATGAATGTCATAGTGTATGAAATATGCAAAAATAGTACTAAAGAAATTGCTTATTGAAAAACATTTAAGGGAAGTCTTGAAAGTCTGAAGAAAATCCAGTGAACCGTTCTTGAAATATCTTGCTGACAATTCAGGTTAACATGCTCAAATCTTCAAAGTGTCGCTGTGACCTTGAAAATTAAGTGAAGGTCACCAAAATCAACAGGGCCCTGCGCCTTCCCTGGATGAAGCTTGGTGTCAAATATGAAGAAACTCCAGTGAATGGTTCTTGAGGTATCTCGCTGACAAGCATAACCTGCAGGTTAATATGCTGAAATCTTCAAAGTGTCTCTGTGACCTTGAAAATTAAGTGAAGGTCACCAAAATTGACTCGGCCCTGCACCTTCCCTAGATAAAGCTTGGTTACAAATATGAAGACAATCCAGTGAACGGTTCTTGAGATAGCTTAACATGCAGGTTTACATGCTGAAATCTTCAAAGTGTCGCCATGACCTTGAAAATTATGTGAAGGTCACCAAAATCGACTGGGCCCTGCGCCTTCCCTAGATGAAGCTTTGTATTGAATATGAAGAAAATCCAGTGAACGGTTCTTGAGATAGCTTTACATGCAGGTAAAACGTGAAAGTCCCCTTGTGACCTTGAAATGAAGGTCAAGGTCACCAAACCTGACTTGGACCTTTCTTATACTGTGATGAACCTAGGTACCAAATATGAAAAGAATCTAGAGAAGGGTTCTTAAGATATTCCAATTCGATGTACATATGTACGTGCGTACGGACGGATGGACGGAGCCTAATACTATATCCCCTGGGATAATAACACTACTAAGGATTGCCATATCATCATGTCTAGAGCTATATAAAAGTATTCCTTACTACACACATCTATGATGTTCTTTTTGTTGTCTTTAGTGAAGCATGATCTTGTTCTATAAGTAACACACTTGTAAATATCGACTTCCAAAAGCTTACCATAAGCTTAAGAGTACAGTAGGTACAAATTTTGTTTTGACTTCAATACATTGTTCAGCATATGGTTTTAGTAAACTGAACTACTTCCTGTACATAAATGATTGTGGACATTGGAACATATCATCTAACATGGTCTTACATGTAACAACCTCAACCGATGAAATACAGCTCTGTTATTATAGTAGCTGCAACCTCAACTCATAATTGTCAGAATTTTAAATGTTGAAGCAAATGCATGTTGCCGTTGACCGATTCAGATCAACAAGAATGTCACAAGAAAGTGTAATCCCAAATATAACATATGTAACAATGTCATGGAGAGTTGAAAGGATGCAACCACAAGTCCTTTCAGAAAATCCCTTTTAATGATACATTTAGCATGACATTAACATGAGATGATCATGCAGTGTTTCAGTTTCATATGGAAAGTTTTTAGGATGATTAATAAACAAACAAGCGAAAACTAAACCAATGCACGGTGCAGAATCAAATTGGTAAATCAAGCATGAAAAGTGAGTGAGTGAGTGAGTGAGTATGGTTTTATGCTGCTTTTAGCAATATTCCAGCAATATCACGGCAGGGGACACCAGGAATGGGCTTCACACATTGTACCCATGTGGGGAATCGAACCTGGATCTTCAGCGTGACAAGCGAACGCTTAAACCATTAGGCTACCCCACCGCCCCTCAGCATGAAAAGCATGATGAAACAAATAAGTTGATGCCATGCTGCTGCATACAGGAAGCTGGAGAGGAGGCTGGAGGGAAACTCAGTGCGGCACTGACAGTGACGGAAACTGATGGAAGTACTACCTTTCAGTGTGAATTGCATCAGGATGTCTATGGCCTCTAAGGAAAACACCAAGTGAAGATGATGAGTAACTTCTCGTCACGATTACTTACATTTATCACATCTACAGAAACTGCAAACATCACACTTTCCAAATCAAAACAACATTAACAGAAGAAAGCAACATCTTCAGTTTTGGAGTTACATTCAGGGAGGTGTCGTTTCATTTTCAGCAATTCATATGTATTCTCCTATATGTCTGGTACCAAATCAGTGATGGAAGTATGGGGTGAGTTATCCTCATATTACAATGAAGGAAACCGACAGTACATTTTCTCATTCTTATTACAATGGTTCACAGGTTTCTACCATATTGGACAAAGATTGCTGATGCTGGCGTCTCCTGCTGTTCCAGTAGGAGTTATCTTTCCTTACATCACACACATTGGAAAACTACAAAACCGTTGACTACACTCACAGAACATGGGACAGCACTACCAAACACATATAATCAAATACTGTAAATCTGAAATTAATGTGTTACCAAATTAATGTGCATGTCAACTCCAGTCTTAAAATGCGTCCTGAAATGTGTATTCATAAAGAATATGATTAGTATTATGTCACTGCCACTGAAGTTACTAGACTGGATATTTTCCCTATACCGGTGCACACTGTTTTGCTTGTAATTAATCATAAGACTAGTTGACAGTCTGCCAAGAAGACAGATGCCAAAACTAGCATAACTCCTTGAACAAGTTGAGTTAACAAACTGAACACACCTGATATAGACCTGAGTGAGAATCACAGTCTGCATTTATCCATCAATAACATTGTTTCTAGTGAGCTGTGTTACACATGCTACTGTTTCTGTCCATGTGCAGTATGTCCAACTGGACATGAGGATATACTCCAACATGTCCACACATCAATGTGTCACTTTCCACGCATGCATGAAAGGCATACTCACATATTCCACATTAAATTCATGATTTACAGTACGAAGCTGCTTAGTCCAACAAAACTATGAGGGCTATGGAAAAATAGAAACCAAAGAAAACAACAGTTTGTTTGAGAGGACATGCATATAACCATGATGCCCTTAGTTACGGAAGGTGTTCCAGTGACTACCAGCCTTGTTTTTCCTGTAAGTCAAGAGATAACCACATCCAAGTCTGCATTGTTGTTTGTCCTACCAAAACACCACAAGGTACCAGGTATTTCATCACAGAGGATATAAGGTCAACCATAGGTCTGGCTATGACTGAAATCAAACAACATTGTTGCATCTTTAGGAAAATACAACAACGCGAAATCTTCAAGAAAATACTTGTGTTACTGTATTGTAAGCTGCTGACAAGAAAAGAACAGATAGTTATATAATAAAATTGTATTTGCAGGTCCCCCACAGATAACTTCCTTCCCACCTAAGCAGATCAACACTGAACTTGCAGACCTGGATGAGGAGTCTGTTCTCTTGTTTTTTCTGCTCACATATTTTCAGTATTACACTAAGGTCTTTAGAGATAAATACTAAGGCTGATAGTCGACTTTACAACTCCACCATGCCACCAGCGAATGTCTTACTTTCTCCGTGTGTCATCATTGTAAGCCAAACAGGGAAGAATTGCGTTGAGTATTCCTGCCATATGAGGCAGCATAGTGCGCCCTGACAACACAATGAACTCCCGTAGCCAGGTTATAGCCGTGCTCTGTATCAGATCATCTGAAACACACAAACAATAACATTAGCCATCTGCATGAACACTGTAACATGAGCCCCCACCTCAACACTGAAGCATTAGCCATCTACCTCAACTCTGAATACATTAGCCATCTGCATGAACACTGTAGCATTAGCCACCCATCTCAACTCTGTAACATTAGCCCCCCACCTCAACACTGTAACATAAGACATCTGCACGAACTGTAACATTAGCGCCCCACCTCAACACTGTAACATTAGCCCCCCACCTCAACAATGCAACATTAGCCCCCCACCTCAACAATGCAACATACAACGTCTGCCTGAACAATGTACATTAGACACAAACCTCAACACTGTAACATAAGACATCTGCATGAGCTGTAACATTGGCCACCCAACTCAACACTGTAACATTAGCCACCCACCTCAACATTGTAACATTAGCCCCAACCTCAACACTGCAACATTAGCCCCCAACCTCAACACTGTAACATTAGCCCCCACCTCAACACTGCAACATTAGCCACCCACCTCAACACTGCAACATTAGCCACCCACCTCAACATACGTCTGCCTGAACACTGTACATTAGCAACAAACTTCAACACTGTAACATAAGACATCTGCATGAACTGTAACATTAGCCCCCCACCTCAACACTGTAACATTAGCCCCCAACACAACACTGCAACATTAGCCACCCACCTCAACACTGCAACATTAGCCACCCACCTCAACATACGTCTGCCTGAACACTGTACATTAGCAACAAACTTCAACACTGTAACATAAGACATCTGCATGAACTGTAACATTAGCCCCCCACCTCAACACTGTAACATTAGCCCCCCAACACAACACTGTAACATTAGCCACCCACCTCAACATTGTAACATCAGCCCCCACCTCAACATTGTAACAATAGCCCCAACCTCAACACTGTAACATTAGCCCCCACCTCAACACTGCAACATTAGCCACCCACCTCAACACTGCAACATTAGCCACCCACCTCAACATACGTCTGCCTAAACACTGTACATTAGAAACAAACTTCAACACTGTAACATAAGACATCTGCATGAACTGTAACATTAGCCACCCACCTCAACACTGTAACATTAGCCCCCCAACACAACACTGCAACATTGGCCACCCACCTCAACACTGCAACATTAGCCACCCACCTCAACACTGCAACATTAGCCCCCCACAACAACACTGCAACATTAGCCCCCAAACTCAACACTGCAACATTAGCCCCCCAACTCAACACTGCAACATTGGCCACCCACCTCAACTCTGTAACATTAGCCACCCACCTCGACAGTGCAACATTAGCACCCCACCTCAACACTGCAACATACGTCTGTCTGTACACTGTACATTAGCCACAAACCTCAACACTGTAACATAAGATATCTGCATAAACTGTAACATTAGCCACCAACCTCAACACTGTAACATTAGCCACCCACCTCAACACTGTAACATTAGCCATCCACCTCAACACTGTAACATTAGCCACCCACCTCAACACTGTAACATTAGCCACCAACCTGAACTCTGTAACATTAGCCACCCACTTCAACACTGTACATTAGCCACCCACCTCAACACTGCAACATTAGCCACCCACCTCAACACTGTAACATAAGACATCTGCATGAACTGTAAAATTAGCCCCCCTCCTCAACATTGTAACATTAGTCCCCACCTCAACACTGAAGCATTAGCCAAAAACCTCAACACTGTAACATTAGCCCCCACCTCATCACTGCAACATTAGCCCCCACCTGACCACTGCAACATTAGCCACCCACCTCAACACTGCAACATTAGCCACCCACCTCAACACTGTAACATTAGCCACCCACCTCAACACTGCAATATTAGCCACCCACCTCAACACTGTAACATTACCCACCCACCTCAACACTGTAACATAAGACGTCTGCCTGTACACTGTAATATTAGCTCCCCACCTCAACACTGAAGCATTAGCCCCCAATCTCAACACTGTAACATTAGCCCCCCACCTCAACACTGTAACATTAGCCACCCACCTCAACATTGTAACATTAGCCCCCCACCTCAACACTGTAACATTAGCCACCCACCTCAACATTGTAACATTAGCCCCCCACCTCAACACTGTAACATTAGCCACCCACCTCAACACTGTAACATTAGCCACCCACCTCAACATTGTAACATAAGACGTCTGCCTCAATACTTTAACATTAGCCATCTGCCTGTACACTGTAATATTAGCCCCCCACTTCAACACTGTAACATTAGCCATCTGCCTGTACACTGTCATATTAGCCCCCCACCTCAACACTGCAACATAAGCTATATGTCTGAACACAACAACACTGTCTCTCTGCTTTTTACCTGAATACAACATATGTCGTCTGCTCGAGTACAACATAAACCATCTGCCAGAATACACTGACCATCTGCTTCAATACAACATTAGCCATCTGTCTGAATATAACATTGAATGTCTTCCTGAATTCAACATCAACAATCTGCCTGAATACAACACTAAACATCTGCCTGAATACAACACTAACCATGCTAACTGTCTGCCTGTATACAACACTGTCTGCCTGAATACAACATTACCCATCAGCAACATCCTCTGAAGCCAGCTGTCCACACTGACCATTAATTGTGTGGTCCAGAAAGTGCCTGATGATGTGGATACTGTGCTGCATTGATGTAAGCTACAAAGTACAGGGAGTGATATGAGCACTACCCTATTTCCGGCATGCTGGCCACACAGCCACCATCAAGCATCAGATCAGTGATACAACAGGATCTACATTCTGGCACTATTTGACAGAAGTACTATGGAAACTGAATGAATTGAAATTATAAACCAAAAAAAATATTAACACAAGTACTATGGAAACTGAATGAATTGAAATTATAAACCAACTTCACATGATATGTATTAGTTCTGTAATTCACAAGGTGCCAGCACATGACAATAAAGAAACACAATGTCCTTGCAGAGTCAGGTGATACCAGTAGGACAGCCATCACATGCCACCACTGACCTGTATTCTGACTGTGAATGATGAGTATGTTTGCCATCCCTGTGAAATTGACACCATTTTTTGACTTCTTGATGCCAGTAAGAAACTCTTCCAGGACACCCTGGCACCTGTAACAAACAAGCAGGTTGAAGAAGCAACAACAGTCCCCCTTACCACAGTATCCATGTGAAGGGCAGTGGTTTACTCACAGTTTGCGTATCTCATGACTGCTGTCCCCCAAGATCTGGAATAGCCCATCTAGTATTTCTGGTAGGAGAACCAACATATTGATGTCAGGAACAGCATCCAAGACCTCCACCTGATGAGAAGTCATCGTTGTTAATACCACAATTCAGAGGTGAGAACATTTCAAGCTATAACAAATCACCATATGACTACTGTAGCATCGATGAGTGGATGTTATGGCCTACCTTGATCTGGATATTACAATCTCCCTCGGTCATGAAAGATCGATGGCTATTGCAACAAATAGTCAAACTAACAGTAAAGTTGCGTAACATGGCAAGGGGTTGTATAGCACCATAAACTGAATCCTGACTTATTTAATATTCCCCATCAGTTCTGTCCATCACTTAGACACACCCAAGGCTTAAACAGCTTTTACTGATGTTGACTGTGATAAAGCAGTTGTGATTATTGTCTCTCAACAATGTTATCTTACCCATGACACCACAAACTGTCTAGCAAAAGCATTCTTTGTGTAGATTCTCTCTCTGAGCAGTGGGATGAATGCAACTAGGTCAAAGGATGAACTTTCTGTCACAATGTCCTGAAACAGAAAGTGCAGACATCCTGAGAAAGCCATAGTATCAAATCTATGATAAAGATTAGGTGGGCACACTACCACCCAAGTTATCAAGTGAACAAAACATTTGGTTCATCACACAAACACCCAAGACACTGAGTGAACAAAGGCGTACCTTAATGAGTCTGTCGAGCAGTTCAGCTCCATTTTTGACGTTCTGGTCAGGATCTGCTGCCAACTGTATGACAACATGTAAGAGTGTGAAGAGGGATATATACATTCAATAACAGTACAGCATTGCTCCATGGTCTGTGAACCACTTAGTTTAAATAACATGCTTCACCAAAAATAGATTGCTGTAAGTTCGGTCTCCTTTAGAATACAGCATCACAACTTCTCGTGAGGACGATCTCTGCCGTTGGTCACGTGTCATTAAGACAAGCAACCAGTTTGTGAGAACCCGTCGGACGCGAACCCGTGACCTTCAGATTGTTAGCTCGACAGCTAACCGACTGAGCTACGTCCACACTGTTGCACAATGTGCAAATTTATCGAGTCATTCCTGTGACGTCGAATAGGTCACGGACAATTACGAAGGTTACGGGTAGACTTGGTGTCTCGTGATTTTAATCTACGGACAATTGCCGAAGAGATCGATGCCATTTGGCACACTTGTCCCATTCTGTAATCTACAGGATAAAGTGTGGTATGGAATGAGCCGATATGCCTCAAACTGAATAGGGTTGTTGACGTCAGGCGTCAGACGTCGATTTCACATGAAATGACGCGCCGTTATATAAATCGGTGATTTTGTGACAGAAAAGTGATGTAGGGAGCACTGTATGGATAACGTGGATCGCACGAAGGAAAGAGGGATACATGAGCATGTCTAGTGATGGCACGAGGGGGAGTTAGCCTTCGAATCATTACTGAACAAATGTTGCGTGTGTAAGAGGCTTGAGTGCACTAAGCCCTAACCCCTTAAAATAATCCTAATAAAAAGAATACATTGACCGAACCAGCACAAACATGACTGACGTGTCCAGTGTAATGCAGTATTACCGCTTCGAAAAATAAAATACTAATAAAAAACTTTTCTATCTAATAGTGCAAATTACTGAATGAAAAAATATATATATGTATGTCAGTTCACATTGGTAAATCATTTAGACCTAATAGTTACGTAGAAACCGAAATATAAAATATATTTACATAATTTAAATAATTACATTGACCAAAATTGCAAATTATCGAATATATATCATATAGACCAGTGTAACGCATTCTCGCTAAATTTAAAAAATACAAAATACAAAAATACACAAAATATAACACCTCACCCCCCCGTAATACAAATAAATATGAGTGTATTAGTTAAAAAAGAAAAATATTTCAAACTGGTGCTTGCAAAAATTGGCATCCGCCGGTATACAACTACTGGAAACTGTCAACATCGTTGGGCTTATGCAATGACATAGCTCGTAGAGATGAAACACCAGTGAGCGGAGCTTATATGCACTCGCTGAGCTGGACAACCGTGTTGCTATGCAGGCGTCATAGGGCATTGTTTCGAGAACATGCTTTAGAACAAAATCATATAAAATTACGTAAAAGGGTATTATGACGTATTTTTAAAGTTTGTGGTGCTGTATTCTAAAGGTAGGCCCCAATTCACAATAACTTGCAAAACCACAGTTTACCTGATATGCTAGTATCTCACAGAACTCTGCTGGAAAAAGATTCTACAGTTCAGAGATGTGGTGTTGTCATCTGTGGTAGTGCTCATACAAGGTTAATGTAGCTAAAAGAGACATCAACTTTAAAGAATTCATTGATTCATGTTGGCTGTGTCCACAATTTGTTTTCCTTGTATCTGAAGAATACTTAAATTACCTTACTCAAGCCATCAAATATTTCGTTGAAAAACGGTAGAACAGAACCCCTGGAGACTTTGACGATGTTGTAGAGGGCCTCACACGCGTAGTATCTCACACGACTGTCAGGGTCATGGAAGCACGCTATCACGGGTTTGGCCAGCTCGTTGATGTAGCTGCTGGAATCCTGAGGAAAATATGAAATGAGAACTGAAATCATAACAAGACATTATCTTGAGGCCTCAAAATGTTGTGGTTCTGATTACCCGACCGACCCTTGAATTCTGGTGCCGACTTTATTTTTTTTAAGCGGTATGAATAAAATATGCTTTCAGACAGACAGACACCATTGATTTTTCCTGGCCTGACGGACATCGGTCATTCTGACAGTGAAAGTTGACATGATGGCTGCAAGCTTGATTGAATATACAATTACACATTGATAAATGTGTTATTAGTTTGCACTTTACTTCTAAAAAACAATTAAAAAAAACCAAGAAGACAAAGTCATCAATATCCCCGCAACCCCAAAATACTCTTTATGAATATGTCTGCTAATAATGATTATATCTAGTGGTGGGAATCAGTTGAAATTTCATAATCGATTATCGATTGCAATCGGATTGTCCTATCCGATCAATGATTGATTGTACAATCGGTTACACTGATTAAGAATTAAATATTTTTTTACAACTTGACACCTGTGCAATTCCCAGGTAAACATTATAACTCTTTTACAATACTGCAATACTTTATGTTTGTCATTTTTAGAATTATGTGATAAATTGTGAGCATTAAATGAAATATGTCAGCTTTTGTGGTTGGTTTCTGTGAAAAACGTGACTTGAGGGTGCATCTACAAGAACTTACGAACTCCTGAATATAATATTTTTCATAAGTTTTATTTGTCATTTGAGGTCAAGACTGTACAAAATTACAAACAACCCAAGTCTACATTGATCAACCAAAAAATGTGTACAAAAATAAATACTGACAGACTACATGTACCAAGATATATAAAAGATGACTGTTCAAATCATTCTTTTGCAGATTTTACACTATCACAACAAATCCTCAAAAAAAATTCCAAATTTTGACTCACTTTTACACTAATGTACCGTATATTACCATAGCTAAGCCGAATTTTGAGGACCAAAAATAGCAGTCTGTAGAAGGGGGTCGGCTTATCTATGGGTTACACTTTCATCAAACTTTTTTCAGGGGGTAAGAAAATGGCATCGTGTCGTTTTAAATGACAGACAGACAAGATTAAGACTGACTGACTGAGTTTGGTTTTACGCCGCCTTTAGCAATATTCCAGCAACATCACAGCAGGGGACACCAGAAATGGGCTTCACACAATATACCCATGTGGGGATTCGAACCCGGGTCTTCGGCGTGAGACAAGAGAAGAAGACTTTGCAGTTAAACATCACTAGACAAGATTATTTACCTTTTCAGTTCTAATTGGTCTTGCTAGGCATTGTATTATATGCAGGGATTAAGATTACCATGTGTATTTGTCTCGTATGTAAAGCTGGAAATAGCAATCAGCTGTGCACACGTTCCCAGTGATCTAGTTTAAAACATACCCAATAATATAACGGGATGAATTTTGCCGCAGTGATCGGTAAAATATAATATAAAATATAACTATTATTTTACCAAGAGAGATATATCCTAGGATTGTGTAATTTTACTTACAGGTTTTGCTCTATAAATGTAAAATATTTTTAATCAATACTAAGGTTTTACGGACCCTCACAAACATGGTAAGCGGAAGTTCAATGTGCATGGAGTGAGGTGAAATAAGCATGCCATTTCACACGTTTTCACCGATGTTACTGTAAACAAGGGCCTCCATGGATGACAAGGTGGTAATCGGTTCGTGATTGTTGAGAATAATCTGAAACTGAAATTTCGCGGTTGGAGCGAAAGCGCACCCTCATGAGCATGGTAAGCGAAAGTTGTACGCGCATGAAATGAGGTGAAATACACATGCCAGTTTGTTGTGATCACCAGCTACAATAAATATGACATTTAGCAAAACAAAATATGTATAGGTATCCATTTTCTGTCAACTACACTTCATTTCGAGGCGTGAGTAGACACAATATGATTGTGATTTCTGTGAATAATGAGGATAGAAGTTATAATTATCGGTGACTGCCCGTTGTCTTGTGGTCTGAGTTGGGTATTCATTACTGTTTTTCTAAGAATTGTCAGCAACAATCGATTATGAAATTTTGCAATCGATTGTCGCATCGGAAAAGGGTAACCAATCAATTATCGATTATAATCGATCATCAGAACACCACTAATTATGTCAAATGTTTTGGAGTGTATATGTCGTGCGTAATATACGGAATTGCCCAATCCGCAAATTATGCAAAGGTATAGTCCCATTCCCGTCAACCGCGACCTTATTTGCTTAATCTGCGGATTGCGCACGCCTCACTGCGTAATCCCTTAGAATGAGCAAGAGTGAGTATGGTTTTACGCCGCTTTTAGCAATATTCCAGCAATATCACGGCGGGGGACACCAGAAATGGGCTTCACACATGGTAGAATGAGCAAGAAATGGTTTGATAATCAGAGACACATATTAAAACACAATGATACGCAATTTATTATAACATTTAAAATATCCTATTTATATCAACTAGCTGATAAGCTACATCGGCTGCACTCTTTAACTTCAGCGGTATTAATATGCAAAACTTCATCATGTGATCTTGACCAGTTTCTTGTTTGCATATCAATCTGACAGCAAGACTGAAACGTTTCAGACAGAATTGGTTTCACTATGACACCTTTGATGTTTTTTGTCTGTTCAACTGACAGTTTTCACAGACAGATATGAAATATCTCACCTGGTCACAAGATACATTACAAAACTTCTTACTTAGTTCATGTAATGTCCTCTTTTCGCCTCCATGTCCACATGACTGATGAGCATCTTTTATCACGCAATAGGTATTCAAACTGAACGAAATATTTAGGAGATTCCTCTGTTCCTTCTTTATCAAGCGCTTCAATCCCACCAACTTCAATTACAGCAGACGTTTTGATAAGTCTGTATTCGCGCTTTTACTTTGTTACAGTCTTTTGCGGAAGAAACATCCTTTATAACTTCTTCATATTTTACTTCTTGCAAATACAGAGAATGTACCACTGTTGATTAAACTTTCAAATCTAATTTTGTCCTCCATCTCAGTGCAACTGTCAGTCGACTACTGGGAGACAAACTATGAAACACTAATCATTGCCTAAAAACACAAGTTCAACTAGGTTTCTAAATACACAAACTCAGCTTCCTCAATCTATGGGATTACGCAGATTATTTAATTGCTCAATCCACAGGAATGAGCACTACTAATTGCGTAATGACAGGGTTTTGGCAGAGGGTCGCCCATTCTCGAGGATTAAGCAAATATCTTGCGTAATTCGCGGATTGGACAATTTCGTAAATTACGCATAACATATACAGCAAAGTAGAAGGAGAGTATTGAAAGGTTTTTAAGATCTGCTCCAGAAAGGAGCACTACTACCAAATTCAGTTGAAGCCTAACTTGTTGCCATGGAAATGCAACAAGATGACATCCTAAGTCATGTTTCCATGGAAACCACAAAAAATAAAATTCATATCTGGGTCTAACCCCCTAAAGGCACATCTCGGGATCATGCTTGACATATGTACCAAGTTTGATGAAGCTAGCATCTATAATTTGGGAGATCTGCTCCGGACAAGATAACATCCTCATAGTCACACCGTAAGTCATGTTTCCATGGAAAGAGCAACAAATAAAATTCGCATCTGGGTCTAACCCCCTAAAGGCACATCTAGGGATCATGCTTGACATATGTACCAAGTTTGATGAAGCTAGCATGTATAATTTGGGAGATCTGCTCCGGACAAGATAACATCCTCATAGTCACAGCGTAAGTCATGTTTCCATGGAAAGCGCAACAAATAAAATTCGCATCTGGGTCTAACCCCCAAAAGGCACATCTAGGGATCATGGTTGACATGTGTACCAAGTTTGGTTAAGCTATCACGAATAGTTTAGGAGATATGCTTCGGACAAAAGTGTGACTGACGCATGGACGGACACACGGACAGATGGAACTCGTTTCTATATCGTTTCTTCGTTGTTGCGGGGTATAAAAATCCTACCTGCCTACCCTAAATTTTAAAGGGGTGTAATCGGAACCACAACATTTTTTTTATTTGGTCTGATTAGTTTGTACGTTGGACTGACTGACTGACTGAGTTTAGTTTTACGCCGCTTTTAGCAATATTCCAGCAATATCACGGCGGGGGACACCAGAAATGGGCTTAACACATTGTGCCCATGTGGGCAATCGAACCCGGGTCTGACTAATACTGATATGGCAGTGAGAGTATGTACAATGCATGAAACCATCTGCAGCTAGGCCAGAACAGTGAAGCATGAAGCATGACCATAATGATGTAGAAACTTCCTCCAATATTACCAATGTTTAATCAAAGGAAAAAATAACAGTAGCTAGCTCCAGTCAAAGCAAGGGTAATAACTGGAAGCTACAACTTGCAGATATAACTTATAAGCTCCTTTCTCTGTATCTTTCTCTTATATGTAGGCCCTTTTATATCATGATATGTAACATACAATGCATATTTGTGGTAACTCATAAATCTTCAGTATGTGTGGTAATACATTTTGTGTATAACTCAGGACAGAAATTCAGATAGTACCTGAAGTCTTGGTACCACAGAGAATTTGAAATTTTGTGCTTTTCTATAGCCTACCATGAATATTTCCTGTGCGACAATGAGAAGTGTAACTATCAATAGTGATATGCAGTTTAGCATGAAGACTTGATTTGTTTTCTTCATGGGTGCACAGTACTTGCTGGCTTGCTAAGTAGCCATGCTCTTCATTTTTAATCCCTGATTTATATGCTGTAAGGTATGATTTAAATAAAAAGGAGTGTTTGAGCCTCTACAGCACCAAATCTTGTTTAAAGGCTTTAATGCTTTTTATAAGTTTTTCCTTGATTCAGATCAATGTTTTGGCTAAAAACAATTAGTTCATGTTTTAGACAGTAAATAACATGCTGTGTTTTAAGGATACTACTTTTATCAACAATACAACAGGAATATAATGTTTTTGAAGAAACTATGAAAAATTAACATTACAATGCAGCAAACGCATATAAGGGAATCAATCCCACTGAGTACATGCATAATTATAACACTACTAGCATGATTAGTGATAAAGAGGAACAATCATTCAAAATGATCATAATAACAAATGAAGCAATTCAGTTATTGTATTTTGATTACGTATCACGAAAAGCTTTCTGAACTCTTAAAAATTAAAACAAATCCCTATTTGGAAACGTACGTGGTATTTTATGACCTATCACATTCACCATGATACACATATTTCAACTGGAAGAGGTTGAAGCAAATGTCATGTTGTGGCAGCAATTAAGGACTTCTAAAATACAAACAATCTATTTTGTTTTAGCCAGGCAACAGACGACCAAGGTTTGTAAACATACTGATATGTCTGGACCATGAATCAAAGAACAGTTCTGTAGCACAAAATAAAAAGAGCATGACTCAACTACAATTCCCTTTAAAAATTTCACATATTACTGATGCCAAGTAAATGGCTTACTTTTCCCAGTGCTATGGCTGTGGCAGCAAGCCCAATCAGTCCCCCTTTCCGGGTGTTGGGGTTACTGGAATATGCGAAGTCATCACCAAGGACTTTCAGGATCCGTTTTATTTGATCAAACTGAAGGGATGTGGAGAAGTCTTTCACCATTCTGAAAATAAGTATGTTAAAATTAGGTAAACAATAATAAAGCAGGAAGCTGCATGCAAATAACATGCCCTGAATTACCACGATTATTTACAGGTCACCTCACAGTGAAAAGGCGGAGCATGATTCTTCAAGTTCTAACTCAGCAGTGACAGTACTGACACTACTATATAGGTTATTTATGAGTAATTCAATTTCTTTACATAAAAAGCATCATTTTGTACATGGAAAATGTTTCAAGGAGTTACCATGGCTAACAAACCATGTTCAAATAATTATATAGACATACCACTAAACCATTTCATCATGCACACTGTGCACAGGTTGTTTTTACCTTTATTTTAAAACACAAAGTCCAAGTTAAGAGGGTACCTACATTATAAATCCAAACTTTACAAAATTCACATATCAAAAACATAAAAATTGTGGGAAACCTAAACAAGGAAAATGCATATCTACACTATATCATACATAGTATATGGTGAATGGGGAGACGGTGATTTCATAGGCTGAACCGGTTCGTAGATGCAGTGGATTCATAGCCCAGACTGGTTCATAGACGATGATTTCGTAGACGTGAATTAATAATGGAATAATAGTATTTTGTAAACATCGCAAAGGCGATGCTGCCACTGATCGCAGCTGTCACACTGGATGGCATGTTGTCTAGGATACACTTCCTTCACACATGAAACGCATAGTGCCATGGTTGATGCTGAATGATTTCTTTTTACCTCTTGAGGTTTATGTACCATAAACTTTGTCGGCGGATTAGACAAACTTAGTCTACTCCTCATAATTTCCCGACAAGAAGAAAATAATGAAATTGTTTTCATTGTTTTCACTGTCGGTTGTGGGTGGATTAACAGGTTTCACTGAGTTGTTGTGAATGTGGATTAACAGGTTTAGCTGAGTTGTTGTGAATGTTAATTAGGAAGTGGTGAGTTGTTTTGATTGCGAAATACTGTGTGTATATTGAAGTGTTATCTTAACAAGTGTTTTCTGCTACTTCTCTGCTGGTATGCGTAGTTGAATGTTGAATGGGTTTTCGTCACTGATGATACTTACCTAACATATTTTTTAATTTCACCAAACTGAATTTAATATATTAGTGGCCTATCCTTTGTCGGAATTTGTCAGACGTGGACCGCTGTGAAGCATATTTTATTTTCATCACCGATCATACTTACCTAATATATTTTATTTATTTCACAATACCCAAACACTTTTCGTTTACATTAAAGTCATAATATCGATTTTCATCATCATTGATGTTGTACATCTATGAATCTACCGCTCAATCCGCCTACGAATACACCGGATTTCCACGTCTACGAACCAGTCTGGTCTACAAATTCACCTACAGCCTGGTGAATGTATGTACCATGTTTCCTGAAAATATCTCTCATTATATATTAGTTCTGCACTTTAGTTCTTCCATTTACAAAGTAAAGATTCATAAAATGTACATAATGAAAGCACAAAATATTCAAAGGATGTATAAAAGGCACATCTTCCACATTGAATTGTGAATATGTGTTGTAGGTTTTGTAATAGTATCTCTTATAGTTTTATATTTCTGTTCCGGAAAACATGCTCAGCATCTGCAATTTATGGATGAAGTTTGGTAAGTATAAAATGAAGTAGAACTTTGCCTGACAATTACTAAAATGAAAGTAGTACTGCCATTCAAAATGTTTCGTCCCATTTAATTGCTGCGAATATGTGCAATAACTTAGCCGTGTAGTGAACACAAACCTTTCTATTTCCAACGCTGCCACTTTTCTCTTTTCATACAGCTTGTCATTGAGTGCTCTAATACAAGAAGCACTCAACGGAGCATAGTCCCTTTCGCTCATTTTAAGTAATTCTAAATTATATGCTTTGAAAGCATGAATTTAAAGGATCACTCCCACAGTTTCCTGCTCGTTTGACGCCATTTTGACCGTCACGTGATAAAATTATGATGGGACGCTTAAAACATCACAAGTAACAAGAACACGCCGTTTTCTGAATAAAATCATGCAGCCACAGCCAAAGATTCAGAAAGGTTGAGATAACCCACACACTTAACTTTGTAAAATGGTAATTAAACATGTGAAAACGTAAAGTGTTTATACATGTGTATTAAGCGACTGTTAAAGGGCCTGTCTGCATTACTTCCGGTTTAATGTCAAAATGACGGTGTTGAATAAAATCAGTTGAGGTTTGATAATAATTGAGACATGGACGAAGAAGACGATCCTTCTCACCATAGCGAGCTAAGCGAAGAGCCAAGCTTCTACCCAAATTCAGAGACATCTTCATGTACAAGTATTTCCAATCCGCATTATGATGGGCCGTATCAGCTTCAGGATCGAGAGGTGTCCTCGAGAGAATTGGAAAATGAAACCAACTGTACCGAAATTAACACTGATGACCATGATCATGGACGAAAATCTAAACCTGAACCTAAGTATCGCGTGAAAACCCCTACAAGTCCTCCAAAAAGCAAACGGAAGAATGAAGTTGTCATGGTCATCTTTGACTTTAGTTATTTGCTCACATGTGCCGGTATTCTTCGTGTATTACAAGTCGTAAGTCTCCTTGTTATTGTGAGATCTTAAAGGTTTGGAATATTTGCAAATTATTTAGGGCTACTGAAAGCCACATAAACGGCTCCTCTACTAGCCCTAGCTCCTCTACTAGTCCAGCATATAACTAGACGACTTTGCACTATACCAAGGTGTGCTCGATGTAGGCCTAGCTGGAATATGAATTTATTTATATGAACTACCCTTACCCAGCTTGCCCTGTAAATGTTCAGATGTCCGCCTCTACAATCAGTCCCAAGAAAAGGTTTTGGGGTTTAATTCATTATAAATGTTAATTGTCTTAATGATAACTCTTGTTGTAATTTGTTGCCATCATGCTACATAAAAACCAGCAAGTTGTAATTTTTGTTAATGTTGCAGATCTTGTCATTGATGACACTGGTGTGCCTGGTAACGTCTGGTGGATATGAAGGTGGACTTCTCAACCTGCCGCTCAGCTGGCATTTCCGTATCATGATTTTTGTGCTCATCCTCACTCTACTCTTCAGCTTCCTCTCCATCCTTGCCAACATCACTAGCCTTGTTTTCGTCTTCCCTTTTGAATGGACTTTCATTGTAAGTTACCATGGCAAAGTAATCAAACATGATCCAAACACACTTACATAGGTTTGATTTCATGAACATGATGAAGCAACTGTATAAATTATTCTTAACTAAACATGTTGTAAAGCTACAATGAGGTTAACATGGTTAAAATATTTCCTTTCTCATCCACAGAATGTAGTTATGGAAACATTAATGTGAAACCCTTACAACCAACCATGAACATGATGAACGCTGAGCCAACTTTAAAAAGATGCCATAATGTCTGAGTGATCTTGTTTGCTAGCATAATCACATTATTACTTCCTCTTACAGGACTTGATACTGTATTCAGTATTTGCCTTTCTGTACCTGGTGGGAACGTCCCTCGTTGCTAGTGCTTTTGACTTCTATATCAAGATGCGGACCAATGTATCTCAAGAAACCATTCATCAACTGGTTGTGTGTGTGGTGAGTGTACTTAATCAAATACATGTGTGTTGAAAGGTTTGAAGGAAAAGCTGCTGACATGATGTTTTTGTGATCTGTAGAATATTTTAACTTCACAAAAAGATCATAAATGTCACACAAACTAGTGTCATCAATGTTGAACTGACGCATACATGATAAACAGAATTTAGCATCATATACATATTTTCTTGAGATTCCCATACATTAGATGAAGGAATCATTTGTCACCAACTGCCATGTTATGTTGTTGGTAGTTTTTAAAGATGGTAAAAGAGAAAGGTGTTATATTTTTCCTTATCCTGACTCATGCTCTTTTTGCTTGTCTTCTTCTTCTTGCGAACATAGTGGAACACTTGTATCTCCCTAATTGAAGCTCCCTTCAATTTAAAATCACTAATCAATACTCTCCAAGAGTTGCCTCTCTTTGGTCCCCTTTTGGCGGGAAAGGTGGCGCCACCACATCCCATATGCTTCACTCTCTCCTTCTTAGCCCAGTGAGCAGGATGTGAGAGCGCCTGTGTCTCCCTACGACACTATATCCTTTGATTATTCTTACTTAGTTACCTCTACAAGTCTCTTATAGAGGTTTACCTAGTATCCTTCAACAATATGGTTTGATATTTATTCGTATTTACTCGTATTTACTGCTGTTTATTCGCGGGACTCCGTGATTGTTCAGTAGATTATGTTGATGAAAATATGTACTGTTTGCAAGTTACGTTTTTCTGCTGCTGATCCGCATTTAATATGCTCTAGCTGTAATGTACCATGTGCTTTCAGTTCACGTTGCAGTTTCTGTATTAATTTATCTAATTCTGCTTTTAACAAATTTTTTCTTTGCGTCCTGAGACGCGCAGCAGATAGGTCACGTAAACAGAGTCTAGGCATGGCTAATGCTACTGAACCCCTTGCAAGTCAACTGCTGTCCGACGACCCCCTCCCGTCTGGTGTTCCGCTGGAGTTACCCTCGGAAGAGAGGCGTGGGACGCAGTCCGCCGTCTCCAAGAAGCGTCCTGCATCACCAGACCTTCCGTCGTCGCAGCCTAAGACTAAGAGGGCATCTACGTCACAACGCAGACTCCGCACCCCCAGGGCAGCGTCTACCACCAAGGGGAAAACTACGCAGTCAGCAAGAACTTTCTCAGCCGAGATTGTTCCACCTAAGAACAGGGCCTTTATGATGAGCAGCCGATCATCATACCTGATGTTCATCGCAAGAAGCGACCGGTGTCAGCTACAGTGACGTCAGCGCAGATCCACAATCAGCACGATGTATCAACGCTGAGGACTGATGATCTTCCCATGGGTCCCGTCGCTACCAACACAGATAGGGCAGCTACTACAACTTCGCAGACCGTCCCGGGCGACCTGGTTCAACAGATTATGAAGTTGATGGAAGACCGCTATGGACTGGAAAAGAGACAACCAGCCCAGGACCTGAGCCTTCGCGAAGGCTCCACCGTAGACGTCACCCCTGAGGGACCCCCCGTCAACGTAGCGGCTACTACCAAGTCACCACTGAAGGACCAGCCTGCGCGAAGGACGTCACAGTCTACCTCTGCGAAGGACCCAGACGATCAGCGTTCCCGAAGGCCTTCGCGCAGGTCACCTCATAGATCACCACGTCGCTCGACTCATAAGCCTTCGCGAAGGTCTCCAGTCAGGTCTCCTCATACGTCGCCATGCACAGCTGTTCAAGTATACAGAACTCCTCCTCAGTCACCATCGGAAGAGTTTCATCGGCCTCTTACCAACGCTCCGGATACCGAAGATGATGGAGGCATCATATTCTCCGACGCAGAGATACGCTATTGGATGGCCAACAACCTGGACCTGGCTTCGCCGTCTAAAGACAACAACCCAGCTCACACCTATCTCATGAGGGAGGACGACGCAGACACGATCACCCTACCTCCGATTGACCCTATAGCAACGGTTCCACAGAACTTGGATACAGCTTTCCAAGCAGCCACTAAAGCTCAGGCGCCGCACTTACCTCAGTTCAATGCCAAGAAGTTCTTTGCTCATAACATGGACCCATTCTACAAAGCTCAAGAAATCGACGATAACTTCAAAGTCATCAACGATGCCAAGGCAAAGACGTACAAGATCGAGGATCGCAAGCTGGCTCAAGATGAAACTATGACCAGAAGAATGTTTCTCAGCCTCAACAGATCCAGAACTATTAATGAAACTCTCATCACTAGATTCTGTGATTCTACATCAGAAGACGACAGAATGATATACTCGGCCCTCCTTATGCAGAAGAAGGACCAGCAATTCTTGACGGATCACCTTTCATCCATCTCAGCAGCTCTTACTCAGGCTCGTCGTCAAGGTCTCCTCGCCACCTGTAGTTGGGGTGAACAGTTCACAGCACCTCTATTCACAGCCCCATGGTCAACGCCTTCCATCTTTGCTGGAGGAATTGATAAAGTCTCTAAAGAAGTCATCAAGGATTCAAGAGAAGTCCTCATGATTAAATCGATTGACACTCTCACTAGCGTCATCAAGCAGACATCACAGAGATACTCCGGAAGATCCAAGTTTACTGGTCTACAAAAAGCACGGGACAGGAAGATGGCCAGCTTCAGAGGTGGAAAGGACTCTTTTCGCCTCCCATTCGGCAACTAAAGGGGAGGATCTGGAAGAGGCAGGGCACCCAGAGGCTCCCGCAACTATCGACGATGAAAGGCGGGTTCAGAACGACTGGAGTCTTCCACCCCCAGCCGTCCCTGTACAACCTTCGCAAGTGGGTGGACGCCTTCAACTGCACTGGGAGAACTGGGGAATACTAAAAGATCCATATGTCTCCAACATCCTTCAACACGGATATCGAATCCAACTACAGGCCACGCCTCTGCTTACAGTCAAGCCTCACAAGTTCGACTTCCAGGCACAACAACTACTAAAGTTACGAGAAGCTGTTTCATCTCTCCTAACCAAGCAGGCCATAGAAATCATGGATCAAGTAAACATCGAACCAGGTTTCTACTCCCCAGTTTTCCTAGTGCCCAAGAAAAATTCCAAGGAAAAGTTCCGACTCATCTACAACATGAGCACGTTCAACAGGGATTATCTACGCAAACCGCCAGCGTTTCGCATGATACATCTACCTCAACTACGGCACCTTGTTCGTCCGATGGACTACATGGCCAGTATAAATCTACAGGATGCTTACCTGCATATCCCGATACATCCCGACTCGAGGAAGCACCCATGGTTTACTCAAGACGGGCTACATTACCAATGGAGGGTACTACCATTTGGAATATCATCGGCCCCCTGGTTGTTCACAAGAGTAACGAAACCCATCGTCACTTACCTACATCGTCAAGGGCTACGCAGTGCGTACTACCTCAACGACGGGAATCAAGTAGATCAAGATCCAGAGCGTCTCAAACTACAACTGAATTTCACCATCAAGCTACTAACACAGCTAGGATGGTTAGTGAATCTACTCAAGTCGGACCTAGAACCTACGCAGGACCTGCAATTTCTAGGCATTCGATTCCTCACGACACAGAATCGTATCGTCATACCAGAGGACCGATGGCTCAAGATCCAACAGACCATTCCACAAGCCTTACTCTCTCCGTTACCACTACGACAGTGACAGAGTCTGTTGGGTCTCCTCATGTCAGCACAAGACATGACAGCCAGAGGCAGACTACAGTTACGCCCGTTACAGGTCCTCATCAACGCTCATCTCGACGACCTTCAACCATTCGGTCTACCGAATTAGCTCAGACCTCATGTACTTTGGTGGACCAGGAGGTCGAATGTTTGCGAAGGCATCTATTTAACAGAGCCGGGTTCAAAACCCATCTCTATGCAGACGCGTCGCTCCAAGGTTGGGGAGCTCATCTCACCAACCGGACGGCATCAGGGTTATGGAACCAAGAAGAGAGCAAACTGCACATAAACATGCTCGAAATGAAAGCAGTAATAAACGCCCTACTTCATTGGAGCACCATTCTACAGAATGCACACCTAATGATCCACACCGACAACTCAACAGTGGCGTTTTATATAAACAAACAAGGTTCAACGAGATCATTGAACCTATTGACTCTATGCTTCCAACTGTTCGATCTGATCGACGATCTAAACATACATGTCAGAGCATGCCACATTCCCGAGCCAAGAATGTACTAGCAGACGCGCTCTCTCGGCATATCTACCGTCACCGACGGAATGGAAACTCCACCCAGAAATCTTCGCTCAGATTATCATGGAAATAGGAGCTCCATTAATAGACCTATTCGCCACTCGCTTCAACAATCAGCTAACAACATTCGTATCACCAGTCCCGGATCCACAAGCATGGGCAACGGACGCTAAGCATATCCTGGGAAGGCCTCAACGCTGCGTATGCTTTCCGCCCATCAGCGCCAATACCAAAGGTGTTACAGAAAATCAGTCAAACTCAGAGCCTCCAACTGATTTTGGTCGCGCCCTACTGGCCAGCGAGAACGTGGTTTCCCATTCTAATTCAAGAAATCGGACAACCATACTACAACTACCAAAGCGCTCGAATCTACTTGTACATCCTCACACAAAACAAGCGCACGAAAACCCAGGAGCATTCCAACTTCACGTATGGACTGTATTAAAGTGTGTTTAAACGAGAGGTTATTCAGCCAGAGCGGCAAAAGCAGTCACGCTTGCTTTGCGCAACTCTACGCGCAACTTGTATGATGACAAGTGGCACAGTTTTGAGACATACGCTGCTAAAAAGGGATTTACAGCTAGAAATGCTACACACCCTGAAGTGGCAGACTACCTTTGTCACCTACAACAAACCAAACGTCTAAAAGGCTCGACACTATCTACGTATCTCGCAGCATTAAGTTCAGTGATAACTATGAGAACGGGTGTCAAGTTAACGAAGACACCAGAGTTACTGGCCTTACTACGTTCATTCCGATTGGAGGATCAGAAACAGAGATTTCGCGCTCCAGCATGGGATGTAAATATAGTGCTCCAACACCTCACAAGTGAGGCCTATGAACCACTGGAATCAACATCGTTCGAATTTCTGACGCAGAAAACACTGTTCCTGCTATCCCTAGCAACGGCAGCCAGAGTATCAGAAATCCACGCTCTAGACTACGAGAGAACACGTTTTGATGAGAATCAAAACACAGTGCATATGGGACTGCGATGGGACTTTATCGCCAAGAATCAATTGCCAGGTCAACCAGACAGATTATTCCATCGCCCCTGCACTTTCCTCGATACTGGACCTCATGATAAACTTTGATCTATCATGCCCAGTGAGAGCACTCAAAGTTTATTTACAACGATCCAAAACGAGGCAAAGAAAACTCAAGCGGTTATTCATCCCTCTATCTACAGCAACTGAGACTGAAGTCTCACGTACCACGATATCGATATCGATATGGATCAGAACTGTCATACTTCGAGCCTACAAGACTGCAGGACTCGACCCTCCAAGAGCATCTAATCCTCATGAAATCAGAGCACTGGCTTCGACACTCGCTCTACATGGAAATTGCTCGTTGAATACCATTATGGAGGGCTGCTTTTGGAAATCTGACATGGTGTTTGCTAACCACTACCTGAGAGACATCGCCACCGAGGACATCTCAGGTATTCACCATTTCGGACCATTGGTTTTAGCACAGCAGTTGACAGTTCCTCGTAGACGATGAGACATAGTCTCACGAGATTATATCTGTATATACTATATCAGTATTTATCAAGCTTACAAACTCTACAGAGTTTTTTTGCTAGTTGTATATCTTAAGCCTAAATTAGTCTTAAAACCCAGTACCTATGTTACATGTACTATTGGGTCGCGTCTCCACTTTGGAGTCGCTTATTCATATATTATTCTAATATTGTAGTACCCCCATCTATGGCAGCTGGTAGAACTTATGGATGATAGCAGCAGAAATTAATTTAATTACAGTGCCATTATGAAGTTCCCGTAGGGGGTTATTACATCTAAATCACTAATTTAAATCCAAAGTATCTGTTCCCACCTCCGATTCCGTCGGATTCTACAAGCAAAAAGAGCATGAGTCAGGATAAGGAAAAATATGTAATTTTCTGAATAAAGTTGATATTTTATACTTATCCTGACTCATGAGGTAAGCCCTCCCATCCTCCCCACATGACACTTTTGGATTTCCCTGAAAATTCAAGTGTTGGGCTCGTTAAACAGGAGAGAGTGAAGCATGTGGGATGTGGTGGCGCCACCTTTCCCGCCAAAAGGGGACCAAAGAGAGGCAACTCTTGGTGAGTATTGATTAGTGATTTTAAATTGAAGGGAGCTTCAATTAGGGAGATACAAGTGTTCCACTATGTTCGCAAGAAGAAGAAGACAAGCAAAAAGAGCATGAGTCAGGATAAGTATGAAATATCAATTTTATTCAGAAAATTACATTATTCGGATGTCAAGTTATACACGCATCCTCAGTAAATGAACATTTGTCGCTTCAAATGTTCCATAAAGCCTAAGATACTTTTCTCAGGTAAGGTACTGAGGTTGGTCATCATTATTTTCTTCACTCTAAGTCAGCCACCATATCAATACACAATAGGGCATGTGCAAAGTGAGTGATTGAGTGAGTTTAGTTTTACGCCGCACTCAGCAATATCCCAGCTATATGGCAGCGGTCTGTAAATAATCGAGTCTGGACCAGACAATCCAGTGATCAACAGCATGAGTGTCGATCTGCGCAATTGGGAACCGATGACACGTGTCAACCAAGTCAGCGAAACTGACCACCCGATCCCGTTAGTCGCCTCTTACGACAAGCATAGTCGCCTTTTATGGCAAGCACATGGGTTGCTGAAGACCTATTCTACCCCGGATCTTCACGGGTCGGCATGTGCAAAGACTTAAGGAGTAGGATGTAGAACAGAGTATGGAAAATATGTCTATTGTTGCACATTTAGTGAGTGGTGGTCCTCTGTTGCAGGTATTTGGCTATATCTGTATGGCATTTTATGGTCTAACAGCTCTGTGCAGCTACAGAACATGGAAGGTGCAGTATCGACTGTATCAGAGGAGGAGACTTCTTGAAGAGGATGAAATTGATATCTGAGATCTGAGAAAACAAACTGTGCAAGAAACAAGAAGTCATTTAACGTAAGAAACTGGTTTAAACTTAGGAGCTACACAGCCTGGTTTGGGTTGCATTTATTTGTTCATTGACTTGTATTATTTAAATATGGTTAATCTTATGTCCAATATATTTTAACTCCATGATAGTATGATAAACACCCAGAACCTATTTTGCTACCATGATTCTTGTGAAGTGCAAATGTTATTGCATGCCTCCAAAATAGCTGTCCAATCAAACTTCTCTCATGAGAAATTAGGTGAGAAGTTAGAGAAACACTCAGACAGTGATGTCACTGTTGAAATGAAGCTATTGTGGTGAATGTATCATGGGTGTTTATTATTATACAAAGGAGAAATAATACAGTCTGTAATTAAGGATATGTTAGGTGGCTCTTCAGATTCTAAATGTAGCTCTGTGAAATCTGCTAGCATGTCAGCAAGTACATTTCAGCAGGTGTCATAAACCTTGGCAGATGATACAGATTAATTCAGTAACCAAATCTACCTACCAAATTTCTTGGAGATTCCAACTTAGGATGGGTTCTAAGAAACCTGTTCTTGTCATAAGAGGAAATTTGCAATGATGGTTCAACTCAGTGATTTACTTTATGGCATGTCATTATACTCCTGACCACCATTAAGTTGACTCTTATGACCAGGATAGATTTCTTAGGAACTGTTATGGTTGTGTGATATATCACATTCAGACTAATTTTGAATGATGAATTTCATGACAAAATATGGAATATTTTACATTAGCAGTCATGTTTCTTTCTTTTTTCTTGTTTTACAGTTGTTTTGTTTGATGCTGATACCCAGGCATGATTCAGCCTCCCAGTCAGCTATTTACCTACAAACATGTCTCAACTTTAACAGTATTGAAGAACAAGCTTACATGCATTGTTATCATGGTTATACACCAGTTCTGTTCAGTTTGTACCCTTATCCTATATAATGCTTTAGTTGTAGTTACTTCCTGGCACATATCCTCAAAGTATGTATCTGACATATATATGTCATGAGTTTCACATACAATTTACATTGGTATTTTTTGTTTTATATATGATACAATTATTGAAAAAACAACAAACTTTACTTCTTTACCATATGTATTTACCATATAAATGTTGACATACCTGTTTGTTTATAAACAGATAAGTCCTTGTGCAATGTATGTTACTATATTTTTCATTTTTGACTGTCTTCCATCTTAAGCCTTTTCTCAGCCACCAAGTTGAAATATTTTGTAGTAAGCAACTGCTGAAGTCTCCAGTATATCATTATACATTCAGGGTATTTGTATATCCTTTGACACTGCTTGGTTCCAAAACACCATATTGTCAGCAAGGAATGAAGTGCATGCCATAAAATGAAGACGAAGGAAAACTTGTAGATGACAGATTGATTTGCTAAACATTCTGGGTTATATTGTGCAGATGTGTTACACATTTAATATATTTTCAATTTCAAGATCTAAGTACTTAATCAGAGAATCTTATTGAGTGAATCATTAGAAACATGGTTACTCCACAAGTTGGGCTGTTGTTTCAAGCCACCATGGCCTGGTCAGGACTAATGCTCAAACTATTGTCTAGTAAGAAAAAGTTTTTAATGGATCATTACTTGTTGACCAAATGGCGATTTTTGTGCCACTGTAGTAGTCCCATATCTTCAAAGTGCTCTTGTTTCTGAGCAGCAGGGCTCCAGATAAGGGCCGTATCGGCATTATGTAATCACATATTTATCTGAAAAAGTATTGTTTTATTGATTATAGACCTGTTAACACAAGAGTTGCAATGTTGTCGTGCATATATGAAACGAAACACAAGATTACTGATACTCCATTAAATTCCATTCAGTACTCTAAATGTACTCTTATGATTTTCAAGTATTCCTGTATTGAAAAATAAGGAGTACGTACTCCTGGTGATAAAAAATTATCTGGAGCTCTGGAGCATTGAGTCCACAAAGGTGGACATTTTGAGTTGTGTAGGTGTGTGTCTATTGGAGATTAATCTTTGGGAACTGATACAGTGCAGAAACTTTTAATTATAAAGTTTTACCTCTTGACAAGACAAACCTTTAATTCAAGATTCAAGCATAAATAATGGTGAATGCTAATTCTCATTATTTATGATAAACAATTATGAACCTTTCAAAGAAGACTTAAATGTATGCAGGTATTGGCTGACTGTTACAAAGAAATGAGAATGTTTTTTTTAGTTTTGGGGATTTTTTTTTTTTTACAATTTTTTTATATCATGTCAGGAAGAGCCCCACCTTTATTCATGTTATACACTATGTAATCTGCTGGGTCTTTGATTTTATAACCATTAAGCTGATGGTTACTGTGACTTTCTAGTCTACAAGCTAAATACAAAGTCAAGTGTTTTTTAATATATTTTTATTACTTACATGTGTTGCCTCTGTATTATGCTTATACATATCGTTAATGAGTTTGTTCGTTCTTGCCTTCAACGTCCAGGTTATGTTGTGATATATTAATGTACTTGACTGTTTACTGATACAGTATTTCAGCTGTAAAACTCATCAGTATTTTGTTGTGAACACATTTAATTTTAGTGTTAGACTAGGTATCGTGCTTGCAAGAGGCATGTGTCCAGTTGAGGCCTTCACCCATCTAGGGACCAATAACTGAAAATAACTAATGAGTTAATACTGATAAATGAAGGAAGGCAACTGTTATGAAGACATTGTTGTGATGGTTATCAGTTGTCGCAATCCGTCTATTTTTAAACTTATCCTATCTCACGACTTGCACCTCTCTCTCTTCATTCGACCATGAGTGGACCTACAAATTAAACTTTGCTCCAGGCCTTCCTTGTCCCTGTCCCCGTGCTGTGCATGCCTTCCTGCCTTAGCCATGCTCACTAGGCCGTGACAGCATGTGGCATGCGCAGTCCTCACCCACGTGATCACCTTCCATACTCATTCTCTTTCTTGTCGCTCGACAGAGTGGACGTGAATTTTTTCGTCTGATAATTGCTCAACATGGTTAAGCCTGTTCAGGCCAGAAACGAAGTTTTGCGCTCAGCGTAATTTGGGACCCACACACATCGTGTGTTGATTATGTAGGTTGTTGTGATTGGGACAAACGTTGTCTTTAAGTGTTCAGGACTGTCTAATGAGGATTTTAAAGCTTACAAACGTGCTTGTGCCAGACGTTTGGCAGATAGGGCCAGGAATGCTTATGCGGGATCTGGTCCATCTCCCGCTAAAAACAATGTTTACATCGCCCCAACCTACCTTCTCGCCGTTCTAAATCTCCCGTCTCTCCTAACGAAGATTTTATGGACGCTTCGTCTGATTCCTATTTGTCTGAGAATGTTAAAAGGCGTTTGGGACGCTTTCCTCACCTAGCTCAAGTTCTCATGGGCATGCAAGGGTGGTAATGACTGATATTTCCTCTACACAAGACCTGCGATCTACTTCATCTCATAGATCCGTTTCTTCGGACCGTTCAAAGTCCTCGAAAACTTCTAAATCCAAGCATTCATCATTGAAGCATGGATCGGCGTGGTTGGAACATAACCGTTCTCCTCTTCGTACGGTTTCATCCCACTGAAACAATTCACCCACACGAGTTGAGTCACCATCTGGTTCGGAGGTTCGAATTCGTTCTTCTACTGCTGGGAAGTGTCGTTCTAGATCTCGTTCACGCTCGAGCTCTCGTCGTCCTTCCAATGTACCAGTCCGAACCGATTCACCACCTCGATTCATTTCACCAATCAGAATTGGGTCTAATGCCAGTGTTGGTTCACTAGAACGGAACCATTCACCTATCCGTGTCATTGCCAAGGGTCGAACTAGTTCACTCAGCCGGGCCGGCTCACCAGACCGAACTCGAATGGATTCACCAGGACGAACCGGTTCACATTCCCGACTCAGTTCACCTCAACATAGGTTTCAGTTCGACTCACCATCTCATAGTCGAATCAATTCACCACAGCGTTTTGATTCACGTAGTCGTTCAGTCTCACCTAGTGGAAGTGGTTCGCCATTTCGATCCGATTCACCTAGCCGTACGGTGTGTTTTCGTCAAGAGTGATTCTCGTAGTCGGTCTCATTCACCTCAGGTGAATCAGGATATCCCGTCTTGTCAGTCTAGAGCTAGTGAGCATTTGCGGTCAGCACCTTTACGTGATAGTTCCCCTCATTAACATCGTTCTGTGCGGGTGGTTTCACCTGCTAGGCTGTGTTATGGTTCAGTGGATCGGCGTTCACCTTCATGCCATGCCACTTCTACTTTGCCTCGGTCATAGGTTATTGCTGAGTCTTGGAATCCTGCGCTTGAGCCCTCTCCAGCGCCGGGTTGAGATACCATGCTTCTTGCTGTTGACCCTAAGTATGCGTAATTTTGCGCACACTGTAACAATATTTACTTTCTCGGATCCCCACTCGTCATGTGTGGGTTGTATTGACCTGTGTTCCTGGAGCAAACATTGTCGGAAATGTGCTCCCTTATCAAGGACGTTTTTAGAGCATGTAGACATGCTTGCTCCCATTGGCTGGCAGACAGAGCTCGTTACACTTTAACAGTTGATCACCCGACAAACCTCAGCTTTTAATGACCGTTATTAACTGCTCGTCGTCCGGAGATTCCCATGTCGGGGATTACCGAACTGATGCAGATCACAGTCACGATACAGATCACAACACTGATCCAGATCACGGACTGATTCAGATCACGTCAACATTCCGGCTCACCACCCTGAACCGATTTACCAGCCCGACTCGTACCGTTTGACCAGGCCTAAAAGCTCCCTATCGTCGAACCAGTTCACCTGGCCGTTCAAGATCACTGAATTGTCAGCATTCATCGAACTGTCAGCTTTCGTCAATAATCCATTCCTCGGACCTTGCCAGCAATTGAGCTTATGCATGAATTGGGCGATTCACCACTCGTGTTATTTCCAACACGGCGCATCTTACCAGCCTATCAGAGCCTATGCCAAATGTGTCTGGGATGCCTCCCAAGACACTTAACCCACATCAAACCTCGTCTTTGCTTTCATGGTTCGGGCTACGCCAGGCGCCTATTAGATGCAGGAATTGTTTTGGTTGATTCAACACACATGATAGCATGGTTCGCTGACCACCTACAGCTACCTAGAGCAAGATACCAGATGTTCTATTGATTACATTCAACATGAAGGATCGGGACTTGTCAACACTGGTTTTCCACACCCTCAACAGGTTCGTGAACTTGCATCTAGATAGGGCCAAATTTGTCGAACTCTGCTAGTTTTCAACACGATCATAGTTTTCAGGGCATCTGTGAGGCGCTGAATTCCTCATTACGAAGTGGCAAGCTCTAAGCTCAACAATTTGATTTGTTTATCCGGTTTACCTTACGGCTTGAGAGGTGCTTAATGTTTTTAATCACATAACTTATCCCACCTTGTACCCCTTTTTATCCCACCGGCATATAATGCGGTGGGATATAGTCGTCGCCTCGTCCGTCTGTCCGTCCGTCCGTAATCATTTTGTTTCCGGATCATAACTCAAAGACCGTTCGATATTTTTTAACCAAAATTGGTAGATATGTCAAAAATAACCTAAGGTGGTGCCTTTTGCTATTTACAGATAATTGTCATTTTTATTTTTCTCAGTTTCCATGGAAACGTTTTGGACTTAGTCTTAAAGAAGGGTGGGCTTCGTTTCCGGAGCATAACTCAAGAACCGTTCAATATTTTTCAACAAAACTTGGTAGATATATCAAACAGATCCTAAAGTGGTGCCTTTTGCTATTTGCAGATTTTTGGCATTTTTATTTTTCCGGTTTCCATGGAAACATTTTGGACTTAGTCTCAAAAGTAAGGAATGCTTTTCGTTTCGAGGCATAACTCAAGAACCATTCAATATTTTTCAACAAAACTTGATAGATATATCAAACAGATCCTAAAGTTGTGCCTTTTGCTATTTGCAGATTTTTGGCATTTTTATTTTTCCTGGTTTCCATGGAAACGATTCGGACTTAGTCCCAAAAGTGAGGGGTGGGCTTCGTTTCCAGAGCATAACTCAAGAACCGTTCAATATTTTTCAAAAAGACCTGGTAGATATATCAAACAGATCCTTAAGTGGTGCCTTTTGCTATTTGCAGATTTTTGGCATTTTATTTTTCCGGTTTCCATGGAAACATTTTGGACTTAGTCTCAAAAGTAAGGAATGCTTTTCGTTTCCGAGCATAACTCAAGAACCATTCAATATTTTTCAACAAAAGTTGGTAGATATATCAAACAGATCCTTAAGTTGTGCCTTTTGCTATTTGCAGATTTTTGGCATTTTTATTTTTCCTGGTTTCCATGGAAACGATTCGGACTTAGTCCCAAAAGTGAGGGGTGGGCTTCGTTTCCAGAGCATAACTCAAGAACCGTTCAATATTTTCAACAAGACCTGGTAGATATATCAAACAGAACCTTAAGTGGGCCTTTTGCTATTTGCAGATTTTTGGCATTTTATTTTCCCGGTTTCCATGGAAACGATTCCGGACTTAGTCCCAAAAGTGAGGGTGGGCTTTCGTTTCCGAGCATAACTCAAGAACCGTTCAATATTTTTCAACAAAACTTGGTAGATATATCAAACAGATCCTAAAGTGGTGCCTTTTGCTATTTGCAGATTTTTGGCATTTTTATTTTTCCCGGTTTCCATGGAAACGATTCGGACTTAGTCCCAAAAGTGAGGGGTGGGCTTCGTTTCCAGAGCATAACTCAAGAACCGTTCAATATTTTTCAACAAAACTTGGTAGATGTATGAAACAGAACCTTAAGTGGTGCCTTTTGCTATTTGCAGATTTTTGGCATTTTTATTTTTCCCGGTTTCCATGGAAACATTTTGGACTTAGTCCCAAAAGTGAGGGGTGGGCTTCGTTTCCGGAGCATAACTCAAGAACCGTTCAATATTTTTCAACAAAACTTGGTAGATAAATCAAACAGAACCATGAGTGGTGCCTTTTGGTATTTGCAGATTTTTGTCATTTTTATTTTTCCCGGTTTCCATGGAAACATTTTGGACTTAGTCTCAAAAAGTAAGGATTGCTTTCGTTTCCGGAGCATAACTCAAGAACCGTTCAATATTTTTCAACAAGACCTGGTAGATATATCAAACAGATCCTAAAGTTGTGCCTTTTGCTATTTGCAGATTTTGGCATTTTATTTTTCCGGTTTCCATGGAAGCGATTCGGACTTAATCCCAAAAGTGAGGGGTGGGCTTCGTTTCGAGCACAACTCAAAACCTCTCTATATCTTTCAGCAAAACTTGGCAGATATGTGAGGCAGATATTGAAGTGATGCCTTTTGCTATTTGCAGATATTTGTGATTTATTATTTTCTCGGTTTCCATGGAAATGATTCGAACTTAGTCTCAAAAAGGAAGGGATGGGTTTTGTTTCGAACTGCACAACGAAAACTTCTTAATATCTTTCAGCAAAACTTGGCAGATATGTGAGGCAGATCCCAAAGTGGTGCCTTTTGCTATTTGCAGATTTTTGTCATTTATTTTTTTCATGATTTCCATGGAAACGATTTGCACTTAGTCTAAAATCAAGCTGGACTTTAAGTAACTGTCAGATGATTTGTTCTTTCAAAGATGTGGGGCCCGGGGGGATATGTCATCTTCTGATGACTCTTGTTCGGATGGTTGTACAGAGTACAGAGTAGCTATGTGCTTCACCATGCCAAATTGATTTACATGTGATGTCAGTAGCCCAGTCATCTAGACATATC